TGACTTCAGTGATTAACTGGTCATCAAAACTGTTGCCAAAAAATAAAATTAAATAAAATTAAATAAAATTAAATTATAAAAACAGGCTAAAGGTCATAAACTGACTGACAGGTAAACATGCCATTTGGCCTTTTCATATCTCTAACGTGTTTTAGAATAAATCATATTTGTCTCCATGACATCACCCCTCCAGCAGACAAAACATCCTGTTATGTCTTTCAAAGCAGCTCCTCTTACCGCATTCGAATGGCGTCCTCCCCCAGCGGCTCCCGCCTCCTCTTTTTCTCTGCTTCCTTCGCTTTCTTCTTTTTCCTCAGGCTGATCTTGTCTTTCTCTCTGCTGGATCGAACCCTCTGCTCCTGGTGGGCTATGTGTGGGGTCAGAACCTTGGATTTGGGGTCAATGTCCGTGACTGTGGAGCGGTGTCTCACCCTGCTACCACCATCCCTCTCCGCCCGCTGCTGCCTCACCCTCCTCACCACCAGGAACACCACCAGGGCCAGCACCAGCAGCAGGCCAATCGCTACGGCAACCACGGCCCACAGCCATGCAGGGGTCGGATCTTTGAGAGGAAGAATAGAAAATTAATTTAACTGTAAAGAAGCAGAACATTTTTTGTTAAGTTCCTCACACTGAGTCAAATGATTATACTGTGTTTTAGTGAACATACATACTAAACTCTACTGAGCTCTGCCTTTGAGAGATCCAGTGTTTGCTTATCTAAAACTCAAATCTGCAGCAGTGACTGACACGTCTAAGCACTGGAAACAGAAAGGTGTTTTATAGTGTTTCGTTTGGACAAAATTCAAAGCTGAATGTGTATATGTGTGTGTGCGTGTGTGTGTGTGTGTGGGAAGGGAGAGACAGGACATGTGAGCCACCTACCTTTGATTTCCTCTTTCCCCGTTTCCTCCTCTCTGCTTCCTATTTCCTCTCGGACACCTCTAATGCTGATGACGGCCTTCAGCTCAGGGAAGGTGGGAAACCGGCGAGGCTTTAGCATCATTACAGCACGCAGGAAACTGGCTGCCTCTGTGGCATAGGGGAAACAGGTAGAGGGTAGACGCAAACACGGCCTGTTGTCCACTTGGAGGAAAAGGAGGGAGCTGGGAAAGAGTGAGATCAAAGGAAACCGTAGGAAAGAGCATGGAGCCATTTAAAATCTGGTACATGTACTACTGACATAAAAAAAATCCTTTTTCAACATTTACCATTTGCAAAAAGTTAAACCCTCTTACCAAACACAACCAAAAATCAACAAAACATAGTTCTGAGATAACGTACTGGAGAATAGATACACATGGATAATAATATCCATATCAATATTCCTGCTAATCACTTGACTCAGTTCAGATTGTCTCACTGTACTTAATGGAGTTCCTCATGGTTCAATGTTTGGCCCACTTTTATGTTGTCTTTACGTAAATAATTATGGTGTTAATCCACGTGGAACTAATGAGGGAGAGTAGCCGGCATGGTCCTGGTTAATTAATCAAAGGTAAAATAAAAAACTCAGCACCTACCCATTTGAGTCAGCCGCAGATGCCTGAGCCAGCAGGTTGGCGAGCTGCTGAGGGTCGAAGTCAAACAAGTTCCTGTTAGTGGCGAGGGGAGCGGACCCTCTCAGTTTGAGTGGTGACTGGAGGAGAGCGCTGAGTGCCCAGAGCAGGGAGCTGTTGGAGAAGGTGCCACGTTGTTGTGGGATGTTGGCGTGAAGGACCAGAGTGCCTTTGGCCCACCGGGGGCTCTGCTGTGTGAAGCAGTCGCTGCCGTCCCATCCACAGAGGGCGCTGTCGCATCCCTGCTCGCAGTGGGAGTTGGCGTAGTGGTCACGGCAGTACTGGATGTGGCCCGGACTGAAAGCAATGATGGGGAGGGATGAAGAGACGTGAAGAAAGAGACAGAAAAAGAGATTTGGCAAAATAGCATCAAGGTTGAGACTGAGATTGAGCTTTCAACTAATACCATGAGATGTGGTATTTGGCTGCAAACTACTAGTTCCAGGGTCAAGGATGAACTTAAATGCTCAGAGTGAACGATATCAGAACAGGGGATAAGTGACTGTGAATTACACAACATTGTTTTCATTAATTATTATTAATGGTGTCTGAGATGGATCTGTGCTTTGGTGCAGCGCGTAGATACATATTGGCATATCGGATATCGGCAGCCCTCCATTTTACATTTATCAAAATTACAGCTCCTGTAATTTGGATATTGAACTTGACCATATTGCGATTTCCATAATATTTTGATTTACTATGCAGCCCTAATTTCACTATTCAATTCTCAGTTGCTATTAATATTAACAATAATAATCATAATGGCAGTTCATTCTTTAGCTGCCTGTTTTGGGGGGGCTCCTGCCAGAGTATGTCTTGCATAAAAAAAAACATCCCTAAACCTTACCTAACCATACTGTAACTGATTTGTTTGATTAAAGTATCAAATATTAATACAAATAGGTAGAGATGGAAAATATAATAAAAGGAAACAATACATAAACCAACACACAACAATCCAAAAGAGCAACCACACCTGAGCATAGCGTTATTTCAGGCAGGACACAATGTCAAGCTCAGCTCACATCCCAGCTACATCAGCTGATCTCAAACAGCCCATCAACTGATGGAGCAGCTGATTGATGGAAGGGAGTCAGCTGATAGATCACATGATTCCTTTCTATGCAACCAGTTGGTGAATCTCATTCAGGGCGCCCTATTTAAACTGCTCTGGCCTGCCTACTGTTGCTGCTTCCTCTGCAAGCAGCTTTGGAACCCGCCTCCACCGCAGCTCCTTTTCATGCTGTGTCTGACTTATCCATGACATTTCTGTTCATCATGGGTGGTCTTTGCTGCTGCTCTCCTTGCTTTAGGCTTTTCATGTCGGCGCATGGAAGGGCAGGGAGGTTTGCCTCTCTGTCGCAGGCTTTCCTCATCTGCGCGTGGAAGGGCAGAGAGGTATGCTCTACCCACTTGGGCTTTCCATGTAGACACGTGGAAGAGGCTTTCTGTGTAGGCCCGGGGAAAGGCAGAGGGGGCCCAGAACAGAGCCATACTGCCAAATATAATACTGCAAATGGACATAAAGTTTTCTCTGACTAAGGTGTTCCTGACTGAACTGGCATGACTAAGCCAATGAAAACATGAAAAGTTCTCATTCATATTTTTATGACTCTACAATGAAAAAACAACAAGAGTGTTTTACTTGCAGTAGGTCCAGTCCGTCAGGCAGTCGAAGCCGTCTCTGAGGCACTCGGGCTCCATACACTCGCTGTTACATGAATTGTCTCCAAACTTGTCCTTACACTTTCTGCTGACTGGACATTGACCCCACGGATCACCAGGCGCCGCTGTGGAGACGAGAACAGGTTAGTGCAACAAAGGGGCAATAGTGCCAAATGTACATTTAGTGTGATTTATTCTTTTTGTTACAGTTGTTGAGATTAAACTATAATAATGGGGTATTTTTGTTATTGGCCTACTGTATGTCTGAAAAATGTTTGTCCATGACTGAAAGATATACATGTCTGTCTTGTCGATTTAAACTGCAGGTGAATTTATAAGCATTATGATGTGTCAAAGGCAAACATCATTTCCATAATCGCGTGTTTTTGCACACTTGGCAAATAAACTGCATGTATTATTTCATTTGGACTTGCAGTTTCAAATCACCACACAAACTGCTTTGTCTAAGTGTTTTATCGTGGCACCAAGTCAGCCACATATTCAAACCACTCATTGTCTCAGACCATTAGCAACTGTTCATAACAATGCAGGTCAAGCCATGAAAGGTGGGTCCTGATACGGACCGTTAAAGGAAACAGGAAATGGGCCCCGACATAAACAGGAAGTTTCCAGGAGAAGCGAATAGCAACAGGAAATGGAGTGGGCTGGGACTTGATAAAGGTCGAAGGTCGTCACCGTGGCAATGAGGAATGTGATGGAGTTGGACAATGGGCTTGGCAGGTGTGTGCGGGACCATAAAGTCATAGCAGCAAAAAAAAAAAAAGCATGAACAATAGAGCTGAAATTAGATATGTTTCACTTGATCGGCACAGGAAGAATAAAAATGTAAGTCCTTATAAAAAATACTTTTCACTTGGTCCCTAAAAGAATATTTCCAAATTTGTATCTACGTTGACAAAAAACAGCCTGTTTAGTCTAAAGAATATTTCAGATATTTGCCTGAAGTTCTTTATCAATATCTTACAAATATAAGGCTTTATATTATATTATGAACCACAAGGGCTTAAGTGACTAATCACTACTTAAAAATATTGATAATTAATTAAACACAGTTCAGAGTAGACACCCCTTTTTCCAAACTGGTCATCAGATTTATACAGCCACAGGATGCAGTTTCACAACACTTTGAACTTGTGACACTTTACATGTATTGCTAAATCTATAGAAAATAGTGTGACTGACTTACCCCGACATGTCCAGCTCAGTCCCAGCACAACAAACGTCCTCAGAGCCAACATCTTCAGCTCGTTCAGGTCGCCGGCTGTGAGCCTTTTCTTCCCTGCTCAGAGGGATCCAGCGGTCCAGTCCAGCTGTTTGGTAAACCTCCTGATCTCCACTGCGTTTACCACTGCTGTTAATCTGTAGCTGTCGTCCTGCTGTTCACAATGAACAGCTAACTCTGAGTGAAGTTACCCAACACCATCACCGCTGCCGCTGCTACCAGCACCACCCAGCTTACTTTGTTCACTCACTCAGTTTTTTTTTTTTTTTTTCAGAGGCCCTGCGGATATCTGGACAACTTCCTGCCACTGTGTGGAGAAGAATAGGAGGGTGATGACCGTATGTGCGTGTGTGTGTGTAGCTCTTACTGTGTCGCAGCTTGAAAAAATAAATCACAGTATGGGGTATGTAGGCTGTTTAGAGGAGCCGTTACTTCAATGTGTAAAAAGCCACAGGGTGTGAGGGGGACGGAGGGGTTTGAATTTGACCTTTACATAGAATCTGTTTTGTCCAGCTGCTGAGTTCAACAAAACTTTACTGTGAGTGCGCTGCCTCTGAAAGAACTCTATAAACTGTGTCTGTTATTTTCTCTTATTTAATCCACAAAAGAAAACAGAACATCTCAGGCCAGAGCGGCTCTGTCAAGCACAAAGTTAAATAAATAACAAAAAAATTAAGCAGTTTGCAGTATTGCGAGTCATTGAAAGCATTTGACTTTGACATTTCACATGACACTTACTGAAAGTTCAAACAGTAGATCAACAGATGAATATGTTTTAGTGTTTTTTCACACATATTGTGACACATTTTGTTTTAGCCTTGAGCTATTAATGATGTTTGACAAAGAATATCAAAATAAATTACATTTTAAGGAACATTGTAGCATTCTCCATTACAAAAACAAAATGTAGTGCTTAAATAATTCCACTTAAGTGAAATGAGCATTCAGCTGCACAAAGACAACCATAGTGTATATTAAAGGGGACCTATCATGCTTTTCTGTATTTAGTGTTTTATATGCAGTGTTACAATGAAGGATGTTCATATTAAGCAAGGCCAAAGTTTTAAAAAAGGTAGGTAGGTAAATGTATGTAAAAGTAATCCCTGTGTCAGGTTTTATGAACACTGTTTCTAACTTTTTTTTTTCTCTGGCTGCAGTATGACATCATAATGTGCCAGATTTCTTTATATGGTGATCTGTCCCAGGCATGCTACTGCAAATACATTACGTAGCCTACGCTGCCAGAAGCTACATGCTAACAGGGAAAATGTAATCTTGGGTAAATTTCTTCCAGATTTCAGATCATCTTCCTGCTGGAACATTTCCGGTTGTGTTTAGAAACTTTTATTGGGGATTTTTAACAAAAGAGTGTCGCTATACTCTGTTACAGTTATTCCTTGGCTGCAGGTACACTGCTACCATACACGTAGCTACATGCTAACATCAGGTAAACATGTTATCTTGGGTGCCAATGTTGTAAATTTCTCCCTGATTTCAGATCATATTCTTACTGAAACACGTCTGGTTGTGTTAAGAAGCTTTTACTGGTAATTTTTCACGGTAAAAAGTGCTGCTATACTTTGTTACAGCTTTTCCCTGGCTGCAAGTACACTGCTAACATACATGTAGCTACATGCTAACATCAGGGAATCATGTAATCTGAGGAAATCTGTAATCTAGGAATGTGAAAGATCTGGAGACGATGACCAATCAGAGCAGTCAGGGCTTTTTTGGAAGGGGGGCTCAAAGAGATGGTGTGAAGAAAATAGTGTTTTTTGACAGTTAAATCATATAAACATGTTCTAATAGGAACTTTAAATTCAAGTAAAGTGAGCATGGTAGGTCCCCTTTAACAGGATTTAATGAAATGTGAGATCACTGAGTCATTTTGGCAAAGTCTTGGAATTAAAGTTTCCGCAACGTGTATATGATGATGTTGTAAGTAATGGAGTAACATAGCAGTGAACTCCAACCTTTAACCTTTTTGTCCTTAATCTCTTTCTACTGGTTACACCCTTTCTCTGGCTGTGGTCCTGGAGCTCCTCTTTCCAAGCAATATTCTTCCCAAAGCTCATTAAACAAATTTCCAGTCGCACCAAAAGAACACCCTTGATCCCTTTTGGGGTCACACAATCCCAAATCCATCTTTTTAAATACAGCACAAAAAACCTGCCGAGAAAGCGGCGGCGTCTTCCTCTCTATGCAGTGGTTGTAGTAGTGCCTGTACACCTCGGACATGTTTGAGAAGACCGGCTCCAGGTAAAGCTTGGAGACAGACGTCCCGCAACAGTATGAGGGCATTTTGGGTAAACTCTCGAGGAACTCCTTCAGGACTACATGCTCTGAAGCTTTACGAGACTTCCTCTGTGTTTGCTTTTTGGTGTTTTCTGAACTGTCCTGCTGGGATGCATTTTGCGCCCAGTTAAGCACTGACCACTCCCCAATCCCCAAAGTGGAGAGGAACATCTTTTTGCAAACTTGTTTTCTGTTACCGTTGGCTATCAAATGATATCGCATCGAGACCGACCTTCTTGACTGAGTCCACGGTGCTCGGGTTCTTTCCACTGGGTCGCAGTCGACTAATCCCGACACATAGATCTTCCTCTGAGACCAGTTCATGCACTGCCAAAAGCTAGTGAACAGCTCGTTCCTTGTTTCTTCACTGAAGTCAGCACAGAAGCGGTTGGATGCCCTTTTGCAAGCACTTGACGTACATCTCAATCCCATTGTCCTCTGACCTTTAGTTATGGTTGTGCCGTCTTTCTTTCGTTTGCTGACATACGGTTTGCCCTCCATCCTGAGTTGCTTTTGTCGGTTTTGCTTCCATGTTAGAGGCTTGGCGACTCTGGATTTCTTTCTGACAGGCCCCTCTGATTCTGTTGGCCTGTTGTTGTCAGTAACATTTACTTGTTCTGCAAAAACAGGGAAATGTCATTAGCATGCATGAAGTATTACTATAGCACAGTGCATTCACTTGAGAAAAAAATACCCATTTGCCTTGTTATTCTGAATTAACAAGATTATTATCTCAGAATTCTGAGAAAAGTTTTCATGCAAAAAATGCTGCTTTTCTGAATTAATTCGTGAATTACATTCCGAGTGTATGTAGTGTTTTATGGGGTGGTAAAGTATTAGACTTTATTTTATTCTTATGTGTCTTGACTGTTATGCTGTGATTGGTTGTTGTACTCTTGTGAGCACACGAAGGCAAATTCCTCACAACCAAAGGCCCAGACACACCAAACCGACATCAAAGAACTAGTGGCACTGAAGGCCGACTGTTGCGTCGCCAATATAACAAATTTGTGTCGTTCTCACGACCTCTTGACTTTAGCTGTTTGTTTGCTTTCCTCACTTACGTTTCTCTTCTTGTCACTGAGTTGAACTGCCAATCAGTGTGATTTCAGTTACTGACGGGCTCCGGTGCTGATTCAATATGCTGAATTTGCTGAAAAACAGCCAACAAGGGCCAGCTAGGGCCAACCGTGCAGGACATACCGCAAAAGTTAAGGCAACAGACACTTACCAAACGGCTCAACGTTGACCAACCATCGGCTTGATGTGTCAGGGCCCTAAGTTGTGTGGCAATTGATTATTCAATCTTAAATCTTGTTTTACTGAATTAACAAAGTGGCCATCTCCGGGGCTGAAAAATGAAGCCAACACGCAAGTGCCAAAAACTGCAGTTTCTCTAATGGCCACTTGAGGCTGACTCCAGAAGCCAGTCAATGACCATAAGACCCCGCTGTTAAGGTGCACAACTTTACAGCTGAAATGCTGACTTCAAAACTGGAGTCCACAAACCAATGGGTGACATCACGGTAGCTACGTCCATTATTTTTACAGTCTTTGGAATTAACGAGATAATAATATTGTTATTAACATTATAGTATTCTTGTAATAATAATCCTGTGGTATCTCGTTATTAGTAACAAGATAATAATCTTGTTACTTCAGATTTTTTTCAAGAGAATTCTGAGATAAAAATCTTGTTAATTCTTGTTTTATTGAATGAATGAGGTATAATATTCTCATTAATTTAGAAAAACAGAGCAGATTTCTTCTTTTTCTCAAGTGAACGCATTAAGCTTCTGAATTACCGCGACAGTTTAGTGTTACAACAAAAACTATTGAAAATAATGGTACTATCTAACACAGGGTTTGGCAACCTTTACTATCAAAAGAGACATTTTTGACCAAAAATAATAATAAAAAAAGCCACAAAACATATTTGAGGTTTATAATGATGGCAACATATCCTGTTAAGTCTAAATGAGCCTATACTCATAGTCTAAAAGGGCATTCATCAATATGTCTTACCACAAGGCGGCTACTCTGCAGGGCATATTAATTCTCTCTTCCAAGTCCAGCTAGAAAGACTCAAGACTAGCCATCGCTATCAAGGTTCGGCAATATATCGAGGAAAAGGTGCCAGGCAGTAGGTGTGTTATGCACATTTTAGTTGTTGAAATGTAAAAAAAAAAAAATTTGTTATATAGACTTAACATTTTTACAAGTGGAGAATGTAAAGATTTCTTTTAGCCTACAACACTGATATATGGAAATCAAAAGGGAGCCACTGGAGAGGGTCACATGTGGCTCTGGAGCCACAGGTTGCCTCCCCCTGATCTAACATTATTACATGAGTGCACTGAGCAGGGCTGTGTCCAACAGTTAATTTCATCCTTGATTAATCTGTCCATTATTTTTCCAATTAAATGATTGATAATTTAGTCTATAGAACATCAAAAAGTAGTGAAAATAGTGTTTTGTTCAACCAGCAGTGATACACAATAATATATCAGAGAAAAGCACATAATCCTTTGAGTTGGAACCAGCAAATTTTGCTTGACAATCAATTGATTATCACACGTCGTGTAAGTTGACAAGTCGATTAATGAGTTAATAGTTTCAGCACTACAACTAAGTTTAGTGAGTAGCTGAAACAGAGTACAGACACTCACCCTGTGTGACCTCCACAGTACTATTGGCTGCAGAAGGAGCAGGGTTCAGTTGTGGGGTTTGTTGAGGACACTGAGGGACAGTCTGCCTCTTTTCTAATTTGTTTTCATTTGCTCCATTCTTTTTCGTTGTTCCGTTCTGCGTCCAGTTGAGCACAGACCACTCTCCTATCCCCAGAGTGGACAGGAACATGTTTTTACACACTTGTTTCCTTTTGCCATCCACCATCAAGTGATAACGGAGTGACACTGATCTTCTCGAATGCGACCCCACCGCCCGAGATCTTTCCACGGGGTCTCGGTCAACTTGTTCTGCTACATACAGTTTTCTCTGAGCCCAGTTCATGTGCTGCCAGAATTCATCAAACACCTTCCTCCTGGCCTCCTCGCTGATTTCACTACAAAGCCGGTTTGAAGCCTTTTTGCATGCGTTCGAAGTGCACCTCGGCCCCATTTCCCTCGGCTGTTTTGTCACAACCTCGCCGTCTTTTTTGCGTTTGCTCACATACGCTTTGCCCTCCATCCTCAGCTGTTTCTGCTTGTTTTGCTTCCATTTTGATGGATCTCCGACTTTGGCTTTTTTCCTGACGGCTCCAGCCTTATCCAAATTGGTGTTTCCATATTTGGCAGCTGTATTAAAGAGCGCTGAAAAAACAAACACAAAAATCCATCTGGATTCATTATTGTAAGCAGTGGTCTAAAAAACATAAACTCAGTTGGAAATTAGATTTTTGGTTTATCAACACAAGACAACACAATAAGCAACGCTAATCCTAGCTTTAGGATTTAGCTGACAGGACTACAGGACACCCATCTTGCATTCGATGAACTTGAGTTTATGGATCTACTGCAATTTTTTTTAATGATCCCTTTTTTTCCCTTTTCTGCTCACAGTAAAAAACACTTTGTTGTAAACATGTGGAGACCATGAATTAACACATCCATCAACAGACAGCTGGACACCCAAGAACTACAATGTCTATGTCATTGCAAGAAAACTGTTTTTTTTATGTAAATAAGCTTATATTATTTATACTATCTATACTTATATATAAGATAAATATTTTATGTTAATCATAATCTGTATAGTCTGTGTGGACTAACCAACAGCCCTGCACAGAGGATAAATATGTATTTTTAATTCCGGGGTGAACCGTCTCTTTAAATGCTACCTAACAACGAAAACAGGATCAAATCATCCTTCTCCTTCAAAATTTGGACGACTAGTTGTATCCACTTTACACATCACTCCACCACACTGTTACTTACTGGTGTCGACACCAAGAGGACCCACACTCTGTAGAGGAAACTGGGGAATCATCTGTGGCTCTGCTATCATTACCAAGTGGGACCTCTTTTTGGACGGTGCATCTTTTTGCATGTCAGATTTCCTGCTTGCATCAGTGACGTGCAGATAGTCTGGATGAAAGAGCACACACATACATCTTGTCAGTGGTGGAACATAACTAAGTACATTTACTCAAGCACTGTACTTTGGTACTTGTATTTTACTTAAGTATTTCCATTTTAAACTGTTTTATATTTCTACTCCACTACATTTTAGAGGCAAATATTGCTCTTCTCGCTTCATCACATTTATTTGAAGGCTGTAGTTACGTTGCAGATTGAGATTATTAATGCAAAATATAGATCAGCTAATACATTATGATGCATTATTATTAATTAAAGAACTCAGCAGTATATAAATTAACCCTATCTTTCCCAGCTGCATTATTGCTGTGACATTAATGCATCACTAATTCAGAAATATAATATATATGAATATGAAATGACTCATTCTATAAATTGAGTATTTTTACTTTCGGTACTTTTAGTATATTTTGATGCTAATACTTTTGAGTGTTGTTTCACTGTAGTATTGCTGCTTTTACTTAAGCACAAGATGTGAATACCTCCTCCACCCCTGCATCTTGTTTAGACATAATCAATAACTGCTGTGTTTCAAGCATCACAGTCACACTCAGTAGCGGGAATATTGCGCTGTTATGCCGCCTTGCTGTTCTGTATGTAAGGTACAATCGCGGAACAGGTGAGACAGAGTTGTCTTGCCTTTAAGCCACCATGGGAAGGAGTAACCGTGCTGAGACAATGTCTGTATATCCAGGACAGCCTGCAAGATGGGACTACGGGCGGCGTTTTGACGACTTATTATGTGTGCAACCGACCACAGGAGATTTAAAACGTAGCTGTTAGTGGAGAGATGAGATGAGATTCGGGAGCTCCCTACCCTCTGAGCAGAGGACAATATCAATTGCCATATAACAAGGATGGCAGATGATTGTTATTGAGACATTAATGCTGTTGTTTTATGTCACACTAGAGGCTGATGTTGTTGAGATACATGTCATACCCGTAATGCTTCTTCTGATTCTGCAAAGCTGTGATGCAGTGTATAATCACACGCTGGAGCGAAATGATGCAGGAGTCATTTGGTTTCATGTAAAAATGCAATGGAGGCATAAAAAAGGGACTTTGTAGTGGCCCTATAGCGTGATCTGTGTAAAAAAGCCAGTGAGACACTTGTACACTGGGGCATTGTACTTTGGGGGCATAAATATAAAAATAAAATAAAATAAATTAGTTGAAAGGCTGAACTTGTATTTAAAAAAATGATGGAAGCTCTCTGAGGCCCCTCTCACCCCTTAAAGGCTAAAAATGGCTTAGTCTGCCCCTGCACTAGGATTCATCTCTAAACTCTGAGGGATCTTTCTCCAAGAAAGGCAATTGGGGTTCCAAAAAATAAACCAAAGATAGAAAGTAAAGGGAAAGAATGCAAACTGACTTTGTTGAGAACAAAAATTCAGAGGGTGTGTGAGAGGGAAATGGATCAGAAGACGAAGGGTAGGAGGCCCACAGAGATTGCCTATGCCAGGCATGTTCAAAGTCCAACCCGGGGGTCAGTCGTGTCGAACTGATTTTAAATGGCCTGCAACTTCTCTCTATAAAATATCCTTTATGTGCCCCTTCTCTCAATATTTGTCAATTAAGCAAAATCACTTTGTATTTTTTATTTACCTCATGATGGCAGGACTATCATACAGTTCGTACATGCAGCAAGCAGGAACTACGCAGGAGGAACAAAGGTGTTTTCATAAACAGGCAGTCAACCAAAGCGACATTTCCCTCTAGGTAACAGACATGTCCACAGCAAAGATGCATAGGCAAATAATGTGCAAATACCCACTGTGGTGGGTTGCACGCATAACAAGTCATCAAAGCCACCACTTTCGAGAGATGTGGAAAGTTGAATACTTTTTCACTGAAAGATGAAACCGTTGCAATTGTCTCATCTGCATGTGTTTTTTTATGACTTGCAATTTTTAATTTTTAATATTCAAATCAGTCGCATCACATGGTCTACGTAATACAGTCCATCACAACGACAAAACATAGCCCTGACCTGTCCCACCCGTAATCAAGAGGGGTCAACCAACCTATAGAGTGGCCTGCAAATCGTGAATATACAACACACATTAGTAACCAAAGAGAGACATGACAGGGCATAATAAATAAAAATCTCTACGTAAGCCAATAGGAATATGTATCTGGAGACAATGGGAAAAGAAAAAATTAAAAATAAAATAAAATAAGATAAAATATAGCTTCAAATAAAATCATATGCCCATCATATCTCTAACCTATTCATCACAGACAATCTGCCTCCACTTTTTCTTTACACTGGTATATATTCAGTGTTAAGATACATGCCCCACTTCAGGAGATATTTTCCTGTTCTGTCCTGCATCCTTTACGACATCCTTTCATATGCTGCTACTTTGACTAATTCAGTCACCCATTCCTGAAAAGGAGATTCTCCAGGTTTCTTTCAAGTCCTGAGGATGATCTGTCATCCAATCATGATAGCAGTCTATGCCCAATATTATCCAAATATCTATCCAATTTATTATTTTATTGTTTTTAAATTGTTTTATTGTTTTTAAATTGTTTTAAAAACAATAAACAATTATTTAGTATTTATTTCCTGTTAACTGTTTTATGTCCCTGTGTTGCTTTGTCTATTTATGTACAGCACTTTGTTTCAGCTGTGGCTGTTTTAAAGGGCTGTATAAATAAAGTTGAATTGAATTGAATTGAAAATTTTGGTTTTTGGGAAAAAGCAAACAACATTTTATATTCTGTACGCCAGAATCTGAAATCAGAATCTGAAACTCACTCTGAGTTACTATTGTTCACAAACTAAAGAAATGAGAGATCATTTTAGTTTGGTTTTTACTAAATATTTGAAGCAAACTGTAAAACTATATCACTTATTTTGTCGCAATTCTATTTTCTTAAATTAATAATATTTATTTTTACTAATTTGTCATATCACAAGAATATCATTATCGCAAAAACACCCTGAAATATCGTGATATTATTTGAGGGCCATATCACCCACCCCTACTGGCCCCCATTGAAAAAAAGTTTTGGACACCCCTGGCTCATGCACAGGACCCAGTATTTGGTGCTACGCCCCTGCTCATACACACCTGGTGGGATGTGGTGCAGCCCAAAAGTCTCAGAGACTGTGGGTCTGTGAACAGGGGGGTCATTGGTGGGTTTGGGATGGAGACCGATATCCTCCATTGCTGCGATGGCTGAAACACAAGAAGCAGGTTGCTGAGAGTCTTTTGCATCAAGAACAAACAATAATGTGCTTTTAAAAACGCAGACAGAGAGATAGAGGATTCACATACAGCCTGTGCCTCCATTCAGACCCTTCAACCCCACCGAAAACACAGCTGGTGCGTATTTAACACAAGACAACAAAGCCATGTGTCTAAATCCAGATGTTCTGCAGTTGACGTAGAAGTAGGCGTTGCAGGGCCTGACATTCATCGATAAGGTGGGTACAGACGGCTGTAACGTTGGTCATACATGTTTAGCTAACTTTATGTGAAGCTAACTCCTAGCACCTCCTCTCAGACGCTAAACAACGTCTAACAGCCTTTAAATATAACACATAAATTCGGCTTACATAGTGTTATACATTTGAAAACGTCTCGTAGACCCGTCGGTTCCATCCAGACCAGATCTCAAGTGTCCCCGCTGCCGCCTGTCTTACTCCTTCATGTCCCTGTCAGTGAGAAACACATCTGTCCTCTCGGTTAGCTCACGCCTTATTTGACTAAATAACTAAACTGTGTTTGGATCTGAGGAGCTTCCCACTGGCAGCTGCCATGTCCGAGCATGCGCAGTGGCGTCCGAGGTGGGAAAAGGGGAAGTTATCCCCAGTGTGTGCATCCATGGGTCTGATCCAGCAGCAGATATATATGAAGGCCAAACCCAAAGCTTTTCTTGCCTCAGCCAAAAACACATTATATTACATTATCTCCGCAGCCCATCTACCCACGCTTTTTATTATTGGATTTCATACCATGTCTTTTGGGACTGCCCTGTTATTAAAGACTGCTGGAGAGGGATACACAAAGCCCTACAAGATATTTTCAAATGTGCTGTACCGCTGTAGAGTAAGTTCATATTTTTAATGGCCGGAAAAAGACAAATGGTTAGTGAATATACTGCTAGTGGCTGGAAACAGCCTCTTACTCACTGCATTTGTCAACCATAAAATAGAACATTTTGTTGCCAGATGGGAAAAATGGGTCAAAACCCCAGAGGCCTGATATTATTTTCACAAATCATTGAGTATATGGTAAGGAAAGGATCACTCCCTAACTGTTCTTAGTTTTTCTCTTGTTATTTTTGGTTTTTATTTTAATTAAATTAGAATAAATTAAATGAAATTAAATTTAATTAAATTTAATTTAGTTCTATTTTATTTTATTTTATTTTATTTTAAAATATGGACATCTGATGTACGCGTGCGGTTTAGGTTTAATGTTAAAAGCCAGTAAAATATAAATTACAAAAAAATAATAATATTGGATTTAATTTTCTTGACAAAAAATGTTCAAACAAATTAATTCGATCTATCTCAACAAACAATTTATACCCTGTCCAGTCCTCTAGAAATAATATTTGAAATCTACTTGACCAATCAACAGTATCCAAAACGAGAATTAAGTTCTTCAAATACCTTGTTCCACCCAAAACAAAAGAAATCCACTACAAAATAATGAATGATTTTTACCCTTCCAATGAATTTTTACAACTAAGATTTGCTTTTGAGAACAACGTGTGTGTGCTCTGCAATGGTCTTTCTATTTCTCCTCAAATTTTCATTATTTTAGGTCAATGAAATTTTTTTTAAAAAAAAACTACTGATCTACCTACAAAAGAGTTTTCGTAGACCTCGGGAGTGTCTTTGTGTGTTTTTTTTTTTTTTTATCTGTTTTGCATCTCTAAGTAGCTGTTTTGTGTCTCCTCGTGGTCATTTTGTGTCCCTTCATAGTTGTTCTGCCTGTTTTCTAAGTTGTCGTGAGTCTCTTTGTGTCTCTTTGTGTCTCTTTGCACCTGTTTTGCATGTTAGAGTAGTTGTTTAGTTCTCTTTGTAGTCATTTTCTTTGTGGTTATGTTTAGTCTCTTCCTGGTTGGTATGTGTCTCTTTGAGTCGTGGTTTGCAGGTGGAGATCAGAGGGGCCCCAACACTTTGGCCCCTGGGCCTGTGCGTGATAGGCCGCTTCATTAATCTGTCCATGCTCTGTACAAATCTGAGGTACCTGTAGTTTGCTTGAGTATTTTTATTTCATGTCACATTACATTCATCAGTCCTCTATCTATCTGCCTGGGCACTTGAAAGAAGCTTTATAAATTAAACAGGCATTCCTTCCAATTAATTTGTCAAAACTGTGTGTTATATTTTTAAAGCACACATGAAAGGAAACTTCTAAGTATAAGTGATTTACAGGGGATTTCAAAGAGGCTGCTTAAAACAATAAGAGCATATATAGCTTTGCTCATCCCATCCTTCAAACATGAAAGCAGGGGAAAGGAAGGAAGCCATCAGGGAGTTCACAGTTTCTGCAGGGGGCTTCATTCTCTCAGTTGTCTTCATGGGCCTCAGCACGAGGGAAGAATAACCAAGCGGGCAAAGCAGCCAACTGTCCTGAGGCCACACAGACTCGGGGCCAGCAAACATCTCACATTAATAATTCATAATTTGATTGCGCATGTGTAAAGGACTCTGAACCGCTAAAGGGGAATTCTAAATGGAACCCAGCCAGCAATAATTTAATTTTTACACCTGTGCTTTTTCTACTGTGACATGGTAAAATGACGGCTAAGGTGCAAACACAGTGGAAGTTTTATAGAGTCAGAATAACACATTTTTACCTGAGGGCCCCCGAACAAGTTGATACTGCAACATCTGAAGTCTATATTAAAATTCCACCTTCATGTTTCAAAAGTAAAACATTGAGTAGGCACTTACTAAACTAAGCTATACTTTATCATATCCTATAATAACTTATTTCCACCATCTTGTTCTTATGACATACACAGGCAGACAGATAGAGGGTGTACAGGGTGAGGTCAGGTAATTTGGGACACTTTTTGGTAGATTACCAAGAAAACTACCAAGAATTCTTTACACATGTTAAAGAGTGTTACTTGTTGAACTTGTTATGGAAAGAAAATATGTTGCTAAGTAAAATATTTTTGAAATTTTGGACCTTCAAACACAGCGAGAAACTTTTCCTCCAATGGCATGTTCAGGTAAAATGGGATAGTCATGTTTGATGTTTAATTGCTTATATTTATTTATCAGTTCCAGTTGACTCTTTGCTTTGCCCATCCTAGTTATCTCAGACCAATCAAAAAGCCCTGTTTCATGTAAAGCACATTTGTGCTAACGATGCAATAACTTGTGTGGTGACTGGCTGCTAATGTTTGGAGAGCCTGAGATGTAAAACCTTATTTGTCCCATGTTACCTGACTTCACCCAAACTTGACTTCACAAACAGATACCTAAGGAAAACAAGCACGGCTAACAGCAAAAAACAATACATGAAAATAGAAAAAAAGAGTTGCTGTATACAAAAATAAGCCTAAATTTGGGTTAATATGATCTGTTTTCATTTAAAACTTAATAAATACGAAGACATTAAAATAATACAGACAGCAACAAAACTGGAGGAGTGTGATAAATATACTTTAATTAAAACATAAGAAATTGGAACAACAACTAATGCAACGTTTGTAAACTACAGCTCAGATTTTTATTACAATATGTGAGGACATTCTTTTTGCAGCAAGGCAGCATGAAAATCAGAAAACAAAAAGACATGAAAATATTAAAAATACAGCTGGGCTGAATGAAAACATCTGTAAGGGAAAAAAATTCCTAAATTCACTAATAAAATTAGTTGAGGTGGTTTTCAAATTTACATGAATAAATGGGGTGTTTACAGTGTTGGGAAGGTTATTTTAAAAATGTGGTTACTGATAAATAGTTACTGTGTTAAAACATATAACAACTCCTTTTTTGTCGCAAGCTCTTAGATAAGTTTTTAAGTGTTTTTATTTGTTTTAGGAATAATTATTGTTATTATCTCCCCTTTTTTAAGAATTATGATAATAATAGCTACCACCCTCTTATTTTGTTTGCTTTTATCATGTCCTGCTTGTTGTTATATATGTAACACTTTATTATCTTATATGATAATTTATGTTTGTCATGCATGATGTATCTTAAGCACACTGAGTTTAAGCTTGTCATATGTAATTTGCTATATAAATAAAATTGACTTGACTTTTAATTACCTAATCAAAGTAATGTAAGTCACAACAACTGATGAGTTTTCTAACAAATAATTTAAACCAGACAATAAAGCTAAAAAATGTCCAAAAATGTCCAGATATAGGCTGCATATACATATATATAATCATCATAATCATATAAGATGCAAAGCAACAAAATAAATGTTTTATTTTAGGCTACATATATACTTTTTACCCAGTAGAATATAAATTGCTACACTTTGATTTATAACTGTAATTTAATTACACATGTTTCTTGGTAACTGTCACTAATTACAGTTACATTTATTTTGTAATTTAATGACATGTAACTAGTTACTTCCTAACACCGGGTATTACACGTTAGACTTATAGAGCCGAGCTGTAGCAGTTCCATCATCTGGCCACATGGTGTCGCTGTTGTACTAAAGATGATCCATGTTAGGTCACACCAGGCAGATCATATCACCTCAGACTGTGTGCACCGCTGTGCAACATTCATTACCGTAGTTTAACTTTAGTTTATAAAAGCAGGAGTTAGATAAATACGGTACAACTTAAATTAAAGTGCGTGGATCTTCCTCAGTCGTCTTCGTGCGCCATGTTGGCACACAGACCAGGGGCTTTCCGTTGTAAAAGCGTATAAATAGTTACTTTCGGTTTCAGTTTGACAGATTAAGTTAGCTGTGCCGACGTCTCAAGGAGAAGCCGGTTGTTAATCGATAAATTGACAATATAAGTTCGTTTTTGGTAAATACTGGTGTCGGTTTACGTTCTTAGACGAACATCAAACTGCCACATTAAACTCTGCTCGTCGAAAGGACAGGTAAGTTGGATTTAAACACCTGTAGTGATACTAGCTAAACTGGGCTAGCTAACATACTGTACTTACTGTAGCACACGTGTTAACAATAACACTGGCAGTGATAGTGTGTTTTTGAGTGTTGTGCTAATTCGTTTGTGTGACTGTGTCTTTGGGTTTGTGTCAAAGTGTTTCTAAGAAATCAGAAGTGTAGATGAAAATGAACGTAATGAAAAAAACCATCTGCAGCAAAGTGAAAGTAAACTCACAATGAGGGACATGCAAATCAAATTACTGCCCCATTTTACGCAGTTATAAAGGGGTAAAAAAACAACAACTATATATTAAACTATGTATACTACATGTTTCTGCCCACAGGCACTGTTTGGAGGGTTACATTAAAATGTATTCCACTACAGATTACTGAGTACATGCCCTTAAATGTAATTTGTAATACATTACATTAGATTACTCAAATTAAGTGGGTATGTGTGTGTGTACATGCATGTGTGTATATTTATGTGAATGTGTGTGTGTATGTACGTATATGAAGCCTATATGTGAATGTATGTTTACACTCACCAGCCACTTTATTAGGTACACCTAACTAGTACCAGGTTGGACCCCTTTTGCCGTCAGAGCTGTCTTAATTCTTGGTGTAATAGATTAAACAAGGTGCTGGAAACTTTCCTCAGAGATTTTGGTCCATGTTGACATGATGACATCACACAGTTGCTGCAGATTTGTCGGCTGCACATCCATGATGAGAATATACAGGAAAAGGAATTGAAAGTAACATTGCGTGTTACAGTTGAACTGACCCGACTCAGTTAAAAACTCTTTTTTTAGCAGGTTCCTGTTATGCAACCAAAACACATCACAATGCAGAATAAAAACAGAAACGATCAACACAGGCAAAACAACTAAACGTAGGCAGCTACATGAACAATGCAGAGTAGCGGACTGAAGTGGAGTGAGTAAAATGGGATATGAGATTTAAATCAGTGGTTGCAGGTATGTCCCTCGTTCAGATAGTGTTCATATGCGTGTTTGAAATGTGTAATAGAGGTTATTGCTTTAATGTAGTGTGGGATCTTAGTGTAAGTGTGACAAAATAATCTCTGACCATAATTGTCTTTGTAAGGTGGTACAGGAATAAGTGCACGTGTTGCTGTCTCGTGTTGTGAATTCCATTTTCTGTAAATGATGTTCTTTCACTTCTTTGTTTTCTGATGTAGTATGGTATTGTACTGGGAAGCACTTTGTAACTCTGGTTTAGAAAGGCGCTATAGAAATAAAGTTTATTATTCTTATTATTATTGCTTCTGGAATACGTCAAAATTATGAGCTCATATAGGCCTATCTGCATCTTATATTTTTATGCCAAAAACACACAAAAGTGTCCTGTCTGTGCATTTCCTCTGCCATTGTTGTATGGCAGATGCACTGCTCACACTTTTTTAAATCTATCTATGGTAAATGGGTGCGTCATATGAATTTTACACTGTGCTTGGCTCTCTGTCCACACTGAATCTGTTAAATATGCATTTCTGTTATGTTATGTAATGTAAACAAACCACATTATAAAACAAAAATTATCTCCTCAGGTAATCTATTTTTTAAGATTGTAACTGTATTTATAACACCACAGATTTACTTAGATTTTGTATTATAAAGACGTAACTCAGTTATTTGTATTTTGTTACTCCCCAGCCTGCCCATAGGTAATAATTATGTTTCCTGTTTGGAGGCCTTAGTGAATCCCACATGTGAGACCTCAGCCACTAACCCCCTCTGTCCCTTTCATTTGCAGAACCTGCGCATTATGCAAAAAATGAGCTACATCTTCCCCCTGCTCTTCACGTGCCTGGATGTGTGTGTGGTGCACGCCATCCGCTTGGCCCACCTTTCCCCACTCCTTTTCTCCCATCCATTCATCACCCTGTGGGGCGGAGGAGTGATCAGGGCCATCCTCCTCGCCTTCCTCACCTTCACCTACCCTGGAAGCCTGCCATGGATGAGCAGCTTTGAGGGGCTGCAGAGCTTAGGGGTCCTTTGCTTCCACTTCCCGGTGTACACCACTTTTCTCTGGGCGCTGGGGCAGTCGGTCATGGAGGAACTGTGGGGGTGGCACTCCTGGGAAAGGGTAGGTAGCTCTTTTTGCAGATGTGTTTGAAATCATATTTAGTTGCAGGCACTTTTCTTAACATCTTTTTAGGTAGTTAGTATGTAACTGGGGGCGATGGCTCTAGAGATGAGCCCATGATGGCTCACTGACCGTAGTGTGTGTGTGCATGTGCTGACTTCAAGTTTAGCTATTAATAAATTGTATATCCAAAAATAAACTTGGTAAGAAATGATAAACAAACATGGATATCCTAAACTGATGATGAGTAATTAGCAAAAAGTCCTTGCTTGAGGGAGCTTGTACAGTGGGTACTGTAGATGCTGGTGCAATGTAACTAAGTACAGTTTTGAGGTACTTGTACCTGAGTATTTCCAATTTATGTTAATTTGTACTTCTATTCTACTAAATTTCAGAGGGAAATACTGTACTTTTTACCTCACTACATAGCTATACATCAATCAGCCAAAACATTCAAACCACTGACAGGTGAAGTGAATAACTTTGATTAGTTTGTTCCAATGCATTGTTCTGCTGGGAAACCTTTGGTTCTGGCATTCATGTGGATACCACCTGACATGTTCCACCCACTCAAACACTGTTGCAGACCACCCCCTCATGGCATAAGCACTCCCCAATGGCAGTGGCCCCCCAGCAGGATAATGCACCATGCCACACTGCAAACATGGCTCAGGAATGGCCCAAGGAATGTGACAAAGACCTCAAAGTGTCAACCTGGCCTCCAAATTCCCCAGATTCCAATCTGAATGAGCATCTGTGGCACGAGCCATTAACCCACCTCACAACCCACTGGACTAAATGGATCTGTCGTCAACGCACTGGTGCCAGACACCACAGGACACTCCCAGAGATCCTGTGTCCATGCCTCGATAGGTCAGAGCCAAGTTCGATCCAAGGAGGCCACACCTCGACACCTTGAGCTGTTTGTCACGCTCCACAAGCCATTTCTGAACAGTTTTTGCAGTGTGGCATGGTGCATTATCCTGCTGGGGGGCCACTGCCATTGGGGAGTACTGTTGCCATGAGGGGGGGGGGGTGTTACTTGGCCTGCAACGGTGTTTGAGTGGTTGCTGGTGTAATCAATGTTGTTCAGTTCACCTGTCAGTGGTTTTAATGTTTTGGCTGATCAGTTTAGTTACTAGTTACTTTGCAGATTAAGATTTTACATACAAAAACCACAATGATCTTATGAAGTACAGTGCATTGTTATCAATTAATAAAATACCCAGCAATATAATGTAGTTAAAATGATCTCAACATCCACCAGCTACATAATCAGTAACATCAATAAACAGATGTTTCACAATATGACACTGAGAGGGACTTTCTGCAGCATGACAAGTACTTTCACTTTTGATACTTAAAGTAAAGTGTGCACTTAATTCCTCCTTACTTTCACTTGAGTAAGATCTTAAATACAGAACCTTTACTTGAAATTGAGTATCTTGCACTGTGATATTGTTTCTTTTATTTTACTAAAGGATCTGATCATTTCTTCCGGTGTTAACAGCTCTCCTGCTGCAACAACAGTTTTTTTGTTATAGAAATTAGTTGAATTAACTCACTTCATTGAATTATTTATCACATTTGCTGTAAGTAAGATTTTATAACGTGCTCAGCAGGGTTTAAATACTTGTTACGGTCATTTTGTTGTATTATTTTTGTAAAGAAGCTGTTGAGCCTCGAACAGAAACAATAGTGAAACCAAAAGCAAACCAGTCTGAAGAGAGCAAAAAAAAAATCCCCCATTTTAGACATGTTGTTTTTGCTTTGATCCTAACATTTGTCCAAACCATCTGTAGCATTAAAAATATTTCATGCAATAATTTTCTGGATTTGTGTGTTTAAAAGTGTGATTTGTTTTCCAGGTGTTACAGGGTTATGCTGTGACCGTCGTAGCTTGGCTCTACTGGAGTCGATATGTGTCGTCTCTGTTGCTGTCCTGGGGTCGATACGTCTCATCTCTGTTGACAAGGGCGCCTTCGGAGAAGCCCAAAGACGACACCATTTCCCCTCTGAAGAGGCTGATGGGATACATGCTGCCCTATAGCGGGCGCTTTGTTTTTGTGCTGTGTCTCGTGGTTCTCTCTTCGTATGGTAAGAGAGACAACACCTTAATTTAAATGAATGGCATGTCGTCGTTGTTTGCAGCTTCACTCTTGTAGTAGGTGGTGTTTTACAAGCAGAGCTATGAAGATTTTGCTGTCTTTCAGGTTCAAGTAGAGAATTATGAAGGCTGGAAAAACTTAACGCATAATATTTTATATCTGGAAATTGTCTGATGATCTCATTCAATAAATGTAAATAAAATGAAATTATATTGCAGGGTTTCTCACACAGTGTCCCAACCCAGGCAAGGTGCTCATAGTCCAAATATCCCGTTTTGTCAAGGTCTTCTTGAATCACTCTTAGTGAGAGTTTCTGCCTCAAGCAAAAGAGTTCAAGTATCTCGGGGTCTTGTTCATGAGTGAGGGTAGAATGAAGCGTGAGATGGATCGGCGGTTTGTTGCGGCTTCTTCAGTGATGCAGGCGCTGCATTGGACCATCATGGTGAAGAGGGAGCTGAGCTGGAAGGCGAAGCTTTCGATTTACTGGTTCATCTACGTCCCAGCCCTCACCTATGGTCATGAGCTCTGGGTAGTGACTGAAAGAATGACATCACAGATACAAGCGACCGAAATGAGTTTCTTCTGTGGGGTGTCTGAGCTCAGCCTTAGAGATAGGGTAAGGAGCTCAGACAACTGGAGGGAGCTCGGAGTAGAGCCGCTGCTCCCTTGCGTTGAAAGGGGTCAGTTGAGGTGGTTCGGGCATCTGATCAGGATGCCTCCTGGGCGCCTCCCATTAGAGGTGTTCCGGACACATCCCACTGGTAGGAGGCCCCGGATTCAACCACAAACTGACTGCTGATCAATTCGCCACCCCGTCACTCAAACTGCTGCTGCAAGAAAAAAAAAAAAAAACTCATGAAGAACTCCGCCGCCATTGTGTTCACAGACTCACAAAAACCTCAGAATTCAGTGAGTGGACACACAATAATCACAAACGGAAAAACCCACACACACACACACATACAAAAAGAAAGTTTGCTGATCCCTCACCCCCCTTCATCAGCTACCGCCACACATAGATTCTAATTTTTTGGGACACACTGTGGTAGGCAAATAAGGACATGCAAAAGTCTAGATGGTTGCGTAGACCATCAACAGCCTGTCATGTCTCTTCTCCTGTAATAGTGTTGACTCTTTAGGCCGATCTAATAGCACAAAGATTAACAGTTTGGTCTCCCCAAAGATAAGTTTTGTGATCATGTGAACTTCTGACCTCAGGTGAAATGGCTGTTCCTCAATACACTGGTCGTGTGGCTGACTGGATCATAAATGAAGAAGCGCCTGATGCATTCACAGAAGCCATCACAGTCATGACGCTTATGACTATTGCCAGGTAACTTTAGTAGATCACCTAAAGCAGTTTTTAAAAAGGTAGCAACCAGGTGTCAGAACGTAAGCAGCAGACATCCAAGAGACACAGTGCAGAAGAAATGCAGTCACAGCGAGGCAAAATGCTAAATGAGACTCGGTCTGGGGTTTGCTTTTACTTTAGCTTTTGCTGGCGAGCGTATTTACAAACCATAACTGACAGTTCTGCATAGTTTAAAGAAGAAGAAATGTTGTTATATTCACTTGAAAGTAGAGGTGGTAGTACAATAATAACTGTAGTGATATTTTGGGTACTTTCCACTGTAATGTGTCCTCTGTCGCACATTTCAGCGCTGTGCTTGAATTTGTATGTGATCTCACGTACAATGTCACCATGAGCCGCATACACACAGCAGTGCAGGGAGCTGTCTTCCAGGCTGTGCTGAAACAGGAGATTGCTTTCTTCAAGGCCACAGGTAAATCATGTTTGTACTGTACATATGACTCAACAGAAGGGAAACAGTACTGTGAACAGTAGGTTATCATGCATGAATCCTGAACCTATTTTTCCTTGCACTTGTGCCACACTGTTTTTTTTTATCAAGGTGAAGCTCAGTGTCCTGATTGGTATGAATTGACAGAGTTTGTATGTGCTGTTGAAAATACAGACAATGCAGGATTTGAACATCATGTTCTTGCACTGTAATTCTCTCAACAAGGCTAATGCACAACTGCTCTCTCAGGTGAACTTGTGTCCCGCATTACCACGGATACCAACGATATGAGCGAGGCACTGAGTGAGAAGCTGAGTCTCTTGATGTGGTACTCGGCGCGTTTTGCCTTCCTCATGTTCTTCATGGTGAGCCAGTCGTGGAAAATGTCCCTGCTCACTTGCATGGGGCTGCCCATCATCTGGGTCATACCAAAGCTCACTGGACACTTCCACCAGGTACAGAGGAGTTCCTAAATGTCTTTAAAGCTGCTCTAATCAATATTTTTATTTTAGCAATGGATGAAAAGTCTGTGTGTAATCTGAGAGGGCTTGAAGTGAGGAACCCATAGGGAATTATCACCCAATTTTGCCACTCCTCTCAGCTAAGTAGCATTTTAGTGTCTTTTAACTCATTGGGCTCTAGTTTCGCAGACCGGGTGAGGCAGGGGCGCAGCGCACCTGCGCTTCACCAACTGGGTGTGGCCAGGCGGATTTTGCAAGTTTGGCACACTGTGTGCCTGGCACAGCTACTCCTCTTTCCCACCTCCGTCCCTCCTACCTGCGCAAGTCGGAAAGAGGGAGGAGAGAAGGCGTGGAGTGGGTTTTACACACATCACACCAATCAAATGAGCCCTTCTCCTCGCCCTTTTATATGCCCCGCGGGAAGGCGTAATGAGAGTTTACTCAATTCGCCATGGCAGAAGAGAGCAGCAGCGTCAGATGGCCAAACTTCTCCCAGGAGGAAACTGATGTTTTGGTCCGGGAGGTCCAAGCTCGCAGTGTCAGAATATACGGAACTGCGAGCAGACCTCCACGGGCTGATGATGCAAAGGTAGCCTGGGAGGAGGTCACCACAATTGTAAATCAATGCTGCGTTTCTCTTGTGCGCGCGCACTCTCTCTCTTTCTCTCTTGCAGTCTCACTCTGTTTCTTTTCTTTTGACTTTTCTAAGATGACAGAAGCTGAATATATACTCCCTATCTGATAGGGGTGTAACGATACATCGATCCACATCGATTCATTGATTAACGATAAGATTATATCGATGCAAAATGAAAACATCAATCCATATGGTCATCTTAAAGATACACATTTATTTTGAAATTCACATAGCATGTCTGTGTCTCCATTTCTGGGCAAGCGCGCCTCCACTCAAACTACAAACAGAGCTCAGAAATAAAATGGTCAAATCATATTCTAGTTGTTTTTATAAGTTGATGTAAATGGTTGTGTTAGATGGGCATATGATATCGCGTCATATCGATCGCAGGCTCCTGAATAGAATCGAATCAAAATTGTATCATGACAGACTTTGTAATATTGGCAAACATTGTATAGTCATCCAAACAAATCGATATAATATCGTATCGTGATTAAGAACTCATTAGTTTGCAGCTGTGTTAATCAAATCAGGTTGAGTTTCCATTACGTGTGCCTCACGTGCCAAACGGTGCCAATCCCCTTTGATCTGACATCAGATGTGACGGGACAGTTGATATAGAGATACATTTATGTGCTGATTGCAGATAGTTGCATTGAATAGTTTTTGGGTATTTATTGTATTGTTAATGTGCCTGATATTCTGGAAACCTGCCTGTGAGGTTTTGGTGACGTGTGCGCGCTGTCCACTGGTCAGCCAAACTTCGGCTTACACCGGCTGCGCACAACCTGCGCTGACAGTAGACATGGTTTCAGCTAGCGAGCTTTTAGCACACCTTCAGAGAAGCCTTTTGGCACGAAACTGTCACTGTGCCAAGCTGGATCTGTCGACACCTCCCCCTGCTGCGCCGCCACACCCATCTCAGAGCACCTCGGTCTGCCAAACTACCAAACTGAGCGCGCCTCGGGTTGCGCTGCTTGAAACTAGCTCTGCGCTGCGCCAGGAAACTAGAGCCCATTGTTTTGGTTTTTAAAGACCGCGTTTCACTCTGATTCAGTCTCGCTGCTCTCATCAGTGTTGTTTCTAGTCACAGCAGGCAGCTGTTTTCAGCGTAAAGGGGTGATGAATGGTTTGTACGCTAGTGTCACAGCAGACAGACAAAGTTAGCAACTAGCTGGTGAACATAGTGGAGCACTCAACAGCTACAGACATCATATTGTCCTTCGAGGCCCACATTAATAATGTCTCAGTATGCCTACATTCATCTACGAAATATTAATCATCACCCATCACTTAAACCTCAGAGCACTGCTATCCATGTTCATTCTTTGGTTACATCTTGAATTGATGATTGCAGTTCTGTCCTCTGTCCTGTCCTTTTTAACTGTGTCCTGTAAGGTGTCCTTGAGTGCTTTGAAAGGCGCCTATACATAAAATGCATTATTATTATTATTATTAGATATTTCCCTCTGGGGTTAGTTACAAGGAGAGAGAATATTGGAGTTATATCCATCAGCTGCACGGAGGCATGACTGCTAAATGAATGCAAATGTGGCTCGGTGTCAACCAGTCTACTTTATATGTCAGTGTTGTGGTTACAGCTCGTGGTGCTAGACTCGAGGAAAGATCAACCCCAGGCACTGGATACTGGTCCAGACAATTTGACATAATGTCAAAATATTTCCAGTGCAGCTATGATTGTATCATGTCCACCAGACATGTTTGTAAGATATCAAATTTTCACAAAGTCTATATTTAAAATTTTTATCCATGTTTCAGACTATTGCCGCAAAGGTTCAGGAGTCACTGGCCAAAGCCAACCAGGTGGCCACAGAGACATTCTCCAGCATGAAGACAGTGAGGAGTTTTGCCAACGAGGATGGCGAGACAGAGAGGTACAGACAGCGGCTGGAGGATACGTACGCCCTTAATAAAAAGGAAGCAGCAGCCTATGCAGGCTCGACCTGGGCCAACAGCGTGAGTTGAATACTGATCTGGGTTATAAAGTGTGCAATGATTCCTTAGCATATGTCTGTGAGTATGAAACAGTGGGGGTAACCTAGAGAAAATAGCAAAATATGCATGCACTGTCTGCAATGTCACCCAGAGGTTCCTGACTTTTTAAAGCATGAAGATGTGTTTATCACTTTCTGCTTCTTCAGTCATCAGCTGTTTACTAACAGAAAATGAAACCAAATTCATGCAGAAAACGAAATGCAGCCAGAAATGTTAAGTTTTAAATGTAGCCTCAGTTGAGTCGAGGTGGGACAGGAGTTAAACAGAGCTCCTCATATAGCCCCCTGTCTACGCCAGAAGTTCCTCCAAATTGAGCACATTAGGAAAACTGACACTGCATGTTCATTGAAGAGTGTTATTTAACCCTGTTAATTTAGTGTGTAAACCACTGTTTATGTTCTCCCAGATGACCACCTTGGCCCTGAAGGTGTGTATTCTGTACTATGGAGGGACTCTTGTAACCAGGGGGGACGTTAGCAGTGGAGACCTGGTGTCATTCGTCCTCTATGAGCTGCAGTTTGCCTCGGCTGTTGAGGTGAGCCACGGGTCAAGATAAAAGGAATGAGCTTGGAAGTGATGTTATGTCCTCAAACTTGTTTTCCCTGTTGCAGAATTACAAGTTGCTATTTTTTTGTGTGTGAAAGAAAATATATAATTAAGGCAAATGGCAAAGTTCCTCATTCTGCCACCTCTCTTCCAGGCTGTCATGCAGTACTACCCAGCGGTGAAGAAAGCAATTGGTGGGTCTGAGAAGATCTTTGAATATTTGGATCGCAAACCTGACATATACCCAGAGGGCACCTTGGCCCCCGAAAAGCTTAAGGGACACATTCAATTCAAAAAAGTTACATTTTCCTATTCTGGTAACAAAGATGAAAATCCTGTGCTCAAGGTATGGCTGTGTTTATCCCCTGTGCAGTTATATTTACAATTTTATCACTTATGACTCTTTACCAAATCACCCTGTTCCTCTCTTCTTCCAGGACTTGTCTCTGGACATAAAGCCAGACAAAGTCACTGCCCTTGTGGGGCTTAACAGATCAGGGAAGTCGACCTGTGTCAAGCTGCTGGAGAGATTTTACACGCTCCAAGCAGGGGAGATCCTACTGGATGGGAAACCACTGAAAAACTACAAAAACCAGTACCTACATGACAAGGTGGGTGGTTACAAGACATTTTTTTCCATTATGTATTTCAATCTTGTAATAATAATGATAATAATAATAATAATAATAATAAACGTTAACACACTTACAAGTGTTTTACAAAACGAAATTAAAAAGACAAAGCAATAATACAAGATAAAAGCAATACACAGAGAATAAAAATAACAGTAAAAACATGCATTTCAGAAGTGATTTAAAAGATGAGACAGAATTTGCAGCCCTGATCTCCTCAGGCAAGTCATTCCAAAGTTGTGGAGCTCTGACTGCAAAGGCTCTGTCATCTTTGTGAATTAATCTAGACCTCAGAACAACAACAAAAGATGCATATGAGGATCTCAGGGTGAGAGAGGAAACATCAGGCAATAAAAGATCTGTTATGTAACTTGGAGCAAGGCCTCTCAGGGCTTTGTAAGTAATCAATAACTTAGTGGTTAGCGCAATAATAAGGAGCTTAGAGGGATAGTTTGGATCTTTTGAAGTTAGGTTGTATGAGGTTCTCATCTATTATTAGTGTATTACCCACAGTGTATGGTCTGTTGGCACAGCCAGAGTTTGGAGAAGCAAGCAGGAGTGCTACCACAGAAGCTAAGCAGTGTACTACTGTAGGGTCAGCAACAAAGTGTATTTTAGTTACCTAAAAAAGAGATGTGGGCTTTATAAAAAGGTAGCAATCAGGTGTCAGAATGTAAGCAGCAGACATCCAAGAGACACAGTGCAGAAGAAATTCAAATATGGTGAGGCAAATTGCTGTCAGACAGCGATTGCCGAGCCACTTTGGTGAGAAACGCTGACCGTAAATATTAGGGCTGCCCCCGACTAAGAATTTACCTAGTCAACCAATAATCATCATTTAGGGCCATTAGTCAACTAGTCGCCTGCATGTTTACGATATTAATTTAATTATTACATACAAAACCGTACTAATGAACCTTCATTAATATAGGCCTATATTTTATCTACAAGTGCACGTCACACACTGAGCGAGCCGCCTGTTAATGACGCTGTGGGCTAATGGGCATGTAGCTACTTCCATGTTTCAGATGATATGTCATGTTTGTAGTCGACCAATGAAGATGAGTTTACATATCACCTTGGGTTCGTCCTTCACCTTCTCAAAATGATCCCACACTTTGGATTTCCTGCCCGACATGAGGTCAACGCGAGGTCAGGCGCTGGGCACTACTCTTGTGCCTTTTTTGTGCCAGCTTTCAAGAGCGTGGCGGCAGGTTGTGTCTGAGGTTGCCAAGCAACCTTAACAAGCATCGTAGAGCCTATTTACCTGAAATCCTGAGTGCAGAGCTGATCTTCTTCCAGGAGCTGTTTATCAGTGTGTCGGCCTATCGTCTGTGGGACAGATGTAAAGCTCTGGGTAGCCCTGCACTAACATGATCAACTTTTCTGTGTTTATCAGACTGAATATTTATAGAAGAAGGGAAAGATATCTGTCGGCTGTGATTGGTTTATAACGTGATTCCTGTCTGACTGCTGAGCGTGGACACTTCCTGTGTCTATCCTTTCAAATTAAATTCCCACATGGTCCAGTCATCTAGGTTTTGATGTATTTTGACAAGGTGCAGCTCCTAATAGAGTTTCACATTTGTGTTTGTTTTTTCTTTTCTGCGACTAAGCGACAGATGAAATGTTGCTGACTAATCGCCTTTCTGGTCGACTAACATTTGGTAGTCTATTAGGAGGCAGCCCTAGTAAATATAGCTTTTTATTTTCTTGTATACAAAAAAAACCCTACAGGGCACCTTTAAAGCTGCATTAAGTTATTTTTGGCCACTAGACAGCAGAACGGCTAACAAAGTCACAGTAAAGGTCCACTTGCACCAGTTCTGTGCATCTGTGGTTTCTTCCCAGAAGATTTGTCATTTATATCATTGAGAGGTCTATTTTTCACCATGAAAAACAGCCTATTTGACTTTAAATTCTTATGTCCCCATAAAAATCAGACACAAGTAAAGTCCTTTGGGATGCTGAGGGTAGTTTGCACAACTGTTCTATCCAGCTCTTTTTTCAGACTGAGAATCAAGAAGCAAAATGACTGTACACTTTATTTGGACATACAGAAGAAAGAAGACATAATAAACCACAGCCTGTGTGGGTGAGAACTGATACCCTAAAGGGTTTATCAAGTCATTGTACCACAAAAATTGACTAAAATTCAAGATGACAAATACATAAGTGAATTCTGCCGCTGAGACCATAAAATGAAATGAAAATGAAATTAAAGTAGCCCCGAGCTGCACAATGATGATGCTGATATAAAGAAGGTGAATCAGAGTTCACTGAAACTTGGATTCCTCTGAATGTCTCTTTAGCTTCACTCCTTTGCTCCTGTTTCATTTTTGTCACAGGAATATTACAAGGACACTTTAATTAGCTCTTTTTTCCTAGTTTTATTCAGTTGTTGCCCTCGTTGTAAACCATTCTCACAGTAAGCTGTGACAGTTAGCAGCCACTGACGTTTCCTCTGTGTCCTGTTTGTTTATAGATTGCTGTGGTGAGCCAAGATTGTGTGCTGTTTGCTCGCTCTGTGCGGGAGAACATCAAGTACGGCTACGAGGATGCCTCTGATGAGGAGATGTTCAGGGCTGCCAAGATGGCCAGTGCTCACGAGTTCATCATGGAGCTGTCGAGTGGATACGACACAGGTTCGACCCCCAAACTCAGCATGTATTCAGGCTAACCTGAAGTGGGGTTCTTCTGCAAAAACTTCCTGGATGTTTGCATAACAATTACAGAAATGTCTGTAACTGTGCATTTCTTAGTTGTGGGTGAACCTTTCAAATATTTTAGTAACTCAGTCTTTCAGGCTGTCTGATCAGGGTGTCTGCAGGTCTTGAAAAACACATAATTTAGTTTATTCATTTCAGCCACTTATCTGGATCCATATTGCTTTAATTTTATTTCTGGGTGAATACTTAATTCTGATTGGCTGCGGGATGTCCACTAACTAACTAGTTCAGGTGAAACTGTCTGTTCACCGCTCTTAATTAATGCACCGCCTACATAATTCTGTGAGTGACCATAGCAACAGGGACACAGGCAGTCAAAGCCTCTGTTTACAATTTATTTCCAACACTGAGTGGAGTCCTTTCGTGCCTCATCCTCTGAAAACCACAGGATGGAGACTGTGGCACACGAGCTGCAAGGAGCACACCAGCACTCTCAACTTACTTATACTTCGTATGACATCAGCGACCATCTCACACACCAATGCTATTGATTTTGAATCTTGCTAGCAGAGCATTAGCTTTCTGACTAATAGCTGATTTGTGCCTTTAACTATGCACTTACTATTCCTCCAAAATGTACATAAACATAATACCAGCACATCCTTCTGTTGGACAGATGCTGGGGAGAAGGGAGGCCAGGTGTCTGGAGGCCAGAAGCAGCGCATTGCCATTGCCAGAGCTTTAATCAGACGTCCTAAAATCCTGATACTGGACAACGCCACCAGTGACTTGGACACAGAGAATGCATACCAGGTAGGAAATGATTCAGAGCTTCTCAGATTTTGCTCATTATTTACTCCCATTTTCCACATATAACGCCAAGTCATGATTTTACTCAACAGGTCCACCAAGCTTTGTTGAGCCAAACCAACAACTGCTCAGTGCTGCTGATATCCAACAACATGAGTGTTGTAGAGAAGGCCCATCATATAATTGTCCTCAACGACGGGACGGTGAAGGAGGAGGGCAGTCATGATGAGCTGTTGAGGAAAGACGGCCTTTATGCTGAACTGGTGAGGAAGCAGAATATGGGCTTCCATCGTCGAGAAGAGGAGACGAATGATAGACACTGACACCTGTGGGCAGGGGTTGCTCAGTTGAAGGAAGGTTGCAGGTTAACTGTCCAGACTTGAAGGGTCAAAACTCCAGTAATATTTGCACTATAAATAACAACCTTATTAGGAGATCACACTTCATACTACATGAGTTGCTGGAGTTTTTGCCCATAAACAACAGCTGTTTCTCAGTTCAGGGGCTGCAGCCTTTGATGGACGTGGCCTTCGCGGTCGACGTCAGCCAGGTGCTTTGAAGATTGCATCAGCTAAACCAAACAGTCTCTGAAATGGGACGGTCTGGTCTACGGAGTATTTCCTGGTTGCATCACCAGTTGTTATTGCCCTGACCCATTGATGCTCCTGTTACCTAGCAACCAGCTGCGCTTGACGAAAGACGGAGTAAGTTAGTAAATTAGTTAGTTTGAAATCATGGACCCAGAGATTGTTATTATATATATATTTTTTTAAATTTAATATTTGAGGAGATGATTCACCGCCGAAGACACTGCCAATTGATATGTTTCAGATAAACTTATTTAATTTAAACTAAATTAAGATTGTTTAAGCTGTGTGCTTTAGCTAATAGCAGTGTTAACAACAGTTAACCATTAGCTAGTAAACAGCTATTAGTTAACTTAATATATAATAGTCACCGGCGCACAATGCATCTTGGGATAGGCTGGGCGAGGAAGGATTCATCTGATGCGTCCTCCAAATTCTAGGAAAGAAGGCTGCATTTGAAGGAGCCTTTGAAATGGGACGGCCACGGTCGTGCCGATGTGATGCAATCAGTTTTCAAATGCAGCTTTCAAAGGCTGCAGATGATGAATTGAGACACAGCTAATATTTCCCTTCTCTGTGAACCTTAGAAGACGGTGAAGTTGTGCTTGAAATCCCTTATCTTGGATTTCAGACCCTGGAAAAATGTAAGTACCCTTCAGTTAGAAGCCCCTGGAGGCGTCTGAACCCCAACTGTTCTGGGAAGACTGGTCCTACTTGGACTGGGAGGCACAGACAAAATTCTCTTTAATTTAAATATATATCGCAAAATTTGACAAATGCCATATAAAGGTATTACATCAAATTGATGCACATCATCATCTAAAATCAAATCTTGCTTATTGATTTGCAACATTGCCCACGCTGGTCAATACAACTGTAGATACAGTGCAGGAGCTAAGCCTATTACCTGCAGCTACATTGACCTGGCTGACGAGCTTTGCAACGGTTGATGCCACAGCTTCATCGGTTGTGTCGCATTCAAACAATAGACTGCAGGTTCCAGTTGCAGAATAACCATCGTATTTATTCATATCACTAAAACATAGGTTGAATACATGTCCATTTCTTTATCATTATTCCAAACAGAACACACAGCACGATGCACACTGTCTCGCACCACAGCGGTCAAAAACCTTTTGCTCTTCCAGGGTGCAACACCTGATGGCAACAATGTTGTTCCTACCTTCATACCCCAATATCAATACAGCACCACGCAGTGTGCACCATAGTAAAAACAATTCAGGTCTGCTGAATGACATATTTGGATCTTACATACAGTATTGAAGGGATAGTGCCCATGGTATATAAATTATATGGCAATGCTATGAAAAATATCAGCTGTTCCATGGTATTTATTGTCATGTTGTTGACTCTATTTCCGACCGGGAAGCTTCCAGATGCCAAAGGGCATGACTGGAAATCATCCTGAAGAGAGTTTATGACTATCGTACACTGTGTTGCTTTTGTACTTTGCAAATATAGATGTAGAAGAGATCATACAGCTAGATTTTAGGTATTTCATATTGCAATAAGTAAGATTGAGTGTTTTTTAATGTTTTGGTTGTAGATATTTTTCACATTTGTCTTTGTTTTATTTTTCCTGTGCTTTTCCTTGTATTGATGATTCTCTAATCATGTACATTTTTTCAACTTGTGAACACTGTTTCCCACCGCTTAGCTCTGACAATGAATTTGACTTCTGGATTTCTTCTTTTAGATATTTAATTTTTTTTTAAAAATCCCTATCCTGGAAGAAGCAATTTGGGGCTCTGACATACCACTATTTACATGTGTTTGATTTTTCTTGCATTTAAAGGACCACTTCACGAATTTTACACATGAAGGTCAGTTCATTTGTCATGAGGTGTATGTTTGACTCAGCCAATAAAAACAATTGTAAAATATTATCTGTGGCTCTGGGGGGAGTTTTTCAAAGTTTGAGAACATTGGGTAATCTCGGTTTGGTGTTTGAAACTCAAAATTATTAGTAGAAATCCTGAGTTATAAACTGAAAGGTCGGGGTTTGATTTACTGTAAGGTCTCATTGAGTTGCTTTACGGGAATTGTAGGCTCCAACATTTTTGGAGCTTGATCCATGGGGATTAAAATACAGGATATCCCAGGGATATCACTGCTTCAGTTTTGGCCATGCATTCTTTTTAAAACATGAGTTCTACAGCTTTATGAAAGTGCAGTAATTATTCAGTGGAGTCCCGCACCAGGCCAGAGTTATAGTTTTTTATTTTTTATTTTGTTTTTAATATTTGTTTTGAGTTCAGTTTAGTTTCAGTTAGTTTCCAGACTGGGTTGAATGTTTAGCTTCACTTTAGTTTGTGTTATTTTGAGAATGAATTTAAGGTTTTTTAAATCATAGCCGACTATGAAGTGTATTCATCAGGAGCAAGATATAAGATGATTGATTGATTGATTTTTTAATTTCGAACATGTAAAACAACAAAAATAAAAACAAAGCAAAACAACAATGAAATGAACGATACACCTATACAACAAACTCAATGAATAGATTCTCATAAACAGCACAAATCTAACAAAAAAGGAGTAGTAGGAAGCATTCACTTATTTATTCCTACCCCTCCTCAGTTTAGAGGAGGGGTTTATTAGAGGTTTATTAATAAGAATAATCTTATTATTTTATTTATCTTATTAGGTAAAACAGATGGTGACAAAGTTTTCTTTGAGGACATGATTTAGTGTTGAAAAAAGGTAATAAATTGCAGTATATTTTATCCCAATACTCAGCATATAGCAACATATTTAAAAATGTTTTGTTCAGTTTTAGTAAACTATAATCTTGCATGAGGCTAGACTACACTTTATTCTTTGTCACAGAGTCTTTATTGATAGCCAACCCAGGCATTGATCACCAACTTTAAGAAAACTAATGATTCCAGTGGGAGCTATTTTGGTTGTGAACTTTTAATACTGAAAGGCTATGGGGGTTATATTGGTAGTTTGTGCAAAGTGTGCATGAGATGCATGAGCTCACAGTTTCAGAGGCAGATATCATTTAAAAGAGATCAAATGTGTCCATCAGCACATCACATAAACGCATGTTCAGGCCACTTACTACCTAAAGATATGTATCATGCCAAATTAATTGTCAGTCTTTTCATAAGGTTCATAAAAACAGTTACCACCAATACAATCCGACTGGGTTTAGGCTGTAAGGCAGAGAAGACCAGCACCAGCAGCCAGATACTGCACATAACACATAATAACACCTTCCCCTGTGGACAGAGGGACGTTCCTCTGTAAAAGTAAAGCCGTAATATTTAATAATTTGAAGTTAAAATCTAAAATCTGAGGACAATTCATCGCTGCGTGCTGCCATTGTGTTCAAACATAACAGAGAGAACAAGATGTCCCGTCCAGGGAGGCGTTGGGCGGGTGCTCCGTTTGACAGACGTGTGCTCGCAGCCAATGAGAGCGCAGTATCACCCCGAACGTGACAGGAAACACGCGACACTGCCACGTGGTGGGTTTATATACAGTCAAGCGGAAGCGACAAGGCGCCATTTCACTGCGGAGTTGTTTAGTGGTGTTTCGGTGGAAGTGCAGCGTCAACGGAGGTGGAAAAAAATAGGACCGTAATAACACTCCGCCTTCAGCCCGATGGAAGCAGCCGTCAACCCGCATCACGACAGGTAAAGCCAGCGGTAAATTAATGGCTGCATTAACTGATTTAATTAACCTCGCAGTGCAAATGAAGGCGGACTAACATTTAATGTCATAATTTAACGTTAGCAACGTTACCGTAGTTACCGTTAGCCCATTGGCAACAACGCTAGCTTGTCAGTGAACTGATTCAGCGTTAGCTAGCTTTCACAGCATGATTTATTTAACGTCTACCAAATTTGCAGCTAAATTTGTAGAGTCGTAACGTTAAGCTATGTCTTTTAGCTGCGGTGTTGAGCTGGCACAAGGAGGGCTAATGACAGCTGCAGCCCCGCCGGCTGGTTCCCCACCGGCTTTCTGTCTGTCGGGTCATTCATCGCTCAGGCACCCTGCTCACGCTAACCTCGCCGTTCTTGTTACTATCATGTAATTCAACTGGCATTATAAAAGCGTGCCATGTATGCTTATTACACACAGTATGTGCTAATAAAAATGTAGCAGCCCCTCAGTGAACCGATTTGTCAGGCATTGTTGCAGTCCGGTGGCGCTAGCTGTTAGCTTAGCCTCCAGCATCGCAGCTCCTGCACCGGTGAGCAAACGTCTGTATGTGGTGGCAAAATGACTGGAGCTGACAGACAGGTTGACAGTTTGACCTTTTCTAGCGCAGCACCGGTGAATAGAGAGTCTGTGTTTCTGCCTTTGTTTGACAGATAATCGCTGTCCGTAATTCGTTGCTGTCATTGTGAGGCAGTGTTTACAAACAGTGAGGGCGGGGCGTCCGAACCACGCGATAACCAGCTGTTGGGTTGTAAATCCAAGAGTCTGACTTTTCTGTCTTTGTTAAATGATAAAGATTGTGTGTGAGCACTAATGTCTTCCAGTAGGAGCAGATGTTAAAAAAGCAAAGCTGCAGATGTGCAAATGATTTGTAGTTTATAATATAACAGAAGATCATAGAAGAAAGAAACCTTATAGGATTCTTTTAGATCCCAACTATCACAGTTACGTTTATGGCATGAAGTAGTAAATTTGACCAAAGTTTCTGCTTTCATTGGACATAATCTACATTCCCATAACTCTTTAGTAGACACTGCACTGTTTGCTTATCTCTTACAACCATTTCATTGTATATTGTATATATTTCAGATTGTCTACTTTACTATTTTATTATTTATTTTATTTTATTGTCTACTTTAATATTTTATTTTATTTTAATGTCTACTTTAATATATTTTTTTATTTATTTCATTGTCTATTTTAGTATTTTATTTATATCTTCATCTTTATCTCTTGTTTCCATTCATGCTGTATTTCTATTTCTACTTTGCACGGAGCATTGGAACAAAAACAATTTCCCCCTGGGGATTAATAAAGTATTCTGAATCTGAATCTGAATATGAACGATTATCAGTGTATTACAGCAAATGTTTACAAAGGAAGTTAGCCATTATTCCTTTTTTAAACACAGTCAAATGTTGCATTAACATACTTAATTCGATCCTGTTTAAGACACATCATTGACATCCGGTTGAAGCAGCACCATGTGAAGACGTGTGGGAGGCTAGAGCACTGCTGGAACTTTCTTTAACTTAATTGTAACCATTCTTATGTCACATATTAACATTTCCTGTTTGAGTAAGACACATCTTTGAGCGTGGTGGCTCAAAAATAAAGTATATAAAAAAAAAATCCCCTCTCTGTGCAGTAGCTTAGCTGTTCTTAGGTCTGCACTCTTCCGGGCAGAGACCTCAGAGGTTGTACCTGTATTCTATAGTGCAATTTGAGCGACAGGTGCATAATTATCATAATCAAGATCAAGGGCATTTCCAGTAAAATATAACAAAACATCCAACTGAAGTCACTATTATTTCAGTTAATTTGCATTTATATTACTTGAAAAATTGGACCTAAATAAGTGGTACTCAGATATGCTTGACTGGAAGTTTATATTGGAATGTGTTCAGTACACAATGGCTCATGTTTCTCTAAATGCTAACAGTTCAGCCGTTCTTTGTGCCGCTGAGATTCTGATTGATGTAGAAAATCAGCTCACAGGTTTTGCCACGGTTTGTGTGTCAGTGGGGCATGTGTGTGTCCTGAACTCTGGGGTGAGGTTTAACTTCTTCTAAATCTGGTTCATGTGCTCTGCTCAGAGTGAAGTGAAAAGGGGATGATGGGGTTGGTTTACTGTGGCATGGTGGCCTTACATGACTTAATGCATTGAGAAACCTTTCAGGTCTATAAATTGGACATGGTCCATGGAGTTGTGTTGAAACCCAGCCAAGATGCCTGTGAGCTGTTCTTAGATCTGGAAAGTCTTTCTTTTCTTTTCTACTTAACTCTATTAATTCCTGTTTAAAAATTTGCATTTTAACCCATTCTTACTAGGAAGTGTAGGAGAAATGTAGTGTTTAGGGACCAACTCCAATTTTGAGATGATAGCCCTCAGCCAAGGGCATCGACAGGAATATCCCTGACATTTGTTCCTTTGTCCATGGGGGGAAACACCCTCTCACAAAATTTATAGAAAGAAAATAGCAGAGTTGAGATTTGAAACCAATGTGTCCATGGTTTTAAGGCTGTGTTTTAACACAGCTTTTAAGTATTTATGCATTAGTTATTAATTACTTTAAGCATTTATTCATGAGTGTCAGAGTTTTGTTTGTTTATGTTTATGTGTGTCATTTATTTCCTATAAATATTCAACTTAAAAGTACAGAAATGTCAGACATGCATGGCCCTTTGCTGTGCAGTGTTACCATTTTGTTGTAGTTGCGCAGTGGCCTTGTGTCCGTATGCATCCTTGCATTTTACAAAAATAAGAAAGTGGAAATTACATTGCCGGGGTTATTTATTTTTTATTTTTTTTAAGAAAAGTGGCTGCGAAAATTCACTGGAATAAAAAATAAAACCATTTCATTGAGAACGGTGAGTCAAGCAGTGACAAAGATTCAAGCTCACTTGTTAATGCTTTTTTCCCCACATATCATGACAGTGTGAGACAATAAATTTCAGGAATGGGATTAAGGCTAAATCTGATTTCTCTTTTTTCCCCCACATGATTCATAATATATTTATCAGCCAAACCTAAAAAAAAAAAGTTTCCTGTATTTATGTGGTGCCAAATGTGGTAATATATTATACAGATAATGGGCTCTTATCACCCAGCCTTGTTATAAGTGAATGTTTGTTTTTTAGCTGGTGAGGCGATGGTGGTTCCCATGACTGTGCTAAAAGTAGCAGCCTATTGATAGAATCCCAGTTTCCTAGATGACAGTTCACTGACTGGAAGGACACAGCCATAGTTTCACTGGACTATGTCAATGAAGCACGTATAGGCTGCACTTTTTGACATTGACAGATGTTCATTGAGTGCATGTATTCATGGGAACAGGAGCAGATTGATGAATCGATGGGTGCATCAATAAGGGGGCCAAAGGTCATACAGCACAATGTAAGAGTGTGATTTTTTTACTAGCAGGCATTTGTCTCTATCTCTCTGTAGACCTTGTGTGTGTTTGTATTCCCACACAAAAATGTGTTCACTTTTTTTTGTTAGTCTGATAAAATGGTGTAAAAAATAAAATGTTATTTGTACTTAAATTCTCACCTCTTTTATTGTGAGGAAGCATTTCTGGTCCTGCAGTTCCTCTTAGTCATACAAAAAAAAAACAAATAAGTCTTGTAATATTTTTCCCAACCTCTCTCCTCTCCTCCCCTCCAGCTCTCTGGTCGGGTTGTCCAGTGGCGGGATGGACCAACACAGTAGTTCGGGCAAACGCATTCGCAAGCCTTCATTGCTGTATGAGGACTTTGAGAGCCCGTCTCTGCCACACACAATGCCCCAGGGTCCTCCCGTCCCACCACAGCCCCCGGTGAAGGATCCCAGCCGACCAGGCCGCATGACCAACCAGCTCCAGTTTCTCCAGAGGACACTAATGAAGCTACTGTGGAGGCATCACTTTGCCTGGCCCTTCCATGAGCCTGTGGATGCCTACAGGCTTAACCTACCAGTGAGTTAAAGGCAGAGAGACTTTTACTTTCTGTTTTCACCGTGTTGAGTTTTATTTATGTTTCTGCAACTCATTGTGGTGCCTCGACTCAGATGTGAAAGTAAAAATCCCCCACTGGGTGCTGTTAAATGTTTTTAATCTGTAATGCTCAACATGCTCCACAAGTTTTAAATTTTCATAAAATCCCCACGTGTTTCACTTCTCTGTCTTTTTAAGGATTACCATAAAATTATCAAACAACCCATGGACATGGGAACCATCAAAAAGCGCCTGGAGAACAACTTCTACCGCAGTGCGAGTGAGTGCATACAGGACTTCAACACCATGTTTACAAACTGCTACATCTACAACAAGGTAGGTTAAAAGGTAAAAATCAGATCTTTATCCATCGTGTTTTTGTCAATTTTAATTTCTTTATTACTCTTTATTTGTTAAGATGGCACCACTTTGATGCTTACAGTTAATATCAGGTCCACACCAAGAGTGATAATGATGTGAGCATCCATACTGATGAACGGTTCTGTAAAAAGTGGCACCAAACATGCAGTGCATGCTTCGGCTGTGTCGGCAGCTTAATAATAACAAAATACGAACCACTGATTTGGAGGGTGAGCCTGATTGCACCCTGTGAGCCTCTCCGCAGTGTCATCTGCCAAGTGGAACATGGTGCCCTGTAGATTTGGATAGATTAGATTGGAGATTGGATGTAGATTGGATGTCAGTGTTTCTATTATTCATTGAATCGCTCTGAAAATGATCCCAACGATATAGTTTGCCACTGTTGTTGTCATTGTAGTTGGGGTGTGGACGCCACCATCCACTTGAGTTAGAGCAATTTTTAAAACAATGTATTTATGTTAATTGTCTTAAGTGTTGTTCTTGGCGTGGACGGCCCTTAATACAGGGTTATGTACAGGTCAGTGCAGCAATAGCAGCACAAGAAACTGCTATTCTTCGCTTGAAAATATGATTTGGAGGTTTGAGCTTCTGCCGGTACCTTAATTTGTTGTTTAAACTGACCTGAAAACCACCAAATTTCCCTCCTGGGGAACAATACAGGTTCATCTTATCTGTAGTTTTTATTGATGATCCAGGCTCAGCCACAGCACCAGGTTTTCTTAACATTTTGTGAGAAGGCAACTTTGTATCTTCTCTATATTTCCCATGAGAAAAAGGTCATCCAGCACTCTGCTAACAGAAACTTGTCTTTGATGCTATCTCAGATGTTGTCCTTTGTAATAACAGAACATGTGCTTACCTGCATAACCTGTACATAGGCAACAGCGTAACATGTCAGGCAAGAGGGAAAATGAAAATGTCAAGTTGACAAGGAAACAAATGACTACAGGATCCAACTCTTGAGCAAACATGGTGCTGTCTCTGAAGATTTTAGTGGAGACCTTTTTTTTCTTAGCGTTCAACAACTACGTCTTCCATTAGGTTTTCACATTGTGTCTAAATCAAATGTCTTGGCAAAGGTTGTCTAAGTGGTAATCCAAAAAAACACAGCAAAGATCATTTGTAACATCAGTTTCATCCATTTATCACTGTTTTACTTTTGTTATTCATTTCATTCATAAAATATGACAAACAACGACAAAGCACAGAACAAGCTGTGAGCATGTTGTTTCAAGTAAATGTCTGTTATTTAATAGATTGATGTTTAATTTGTCAGCACATGAATTAATCATGAATAAAAACATTGAAATTAAATTCTGTCTTAAAGTTTTTTTAGTGTCATGGCTTTTATTTTAGTGTGTTTCTAAATCTTTTTCTTGGCTAGCCGACAGACGACGTTGTGCTGATGGCGCAGTCCTTAGAGAAGATCTTCCTCCAAAAGGTGGCCCAGATGCCGCAGGAAGAAGTTGAGCTGCCTCCTCCAGCTCCTCGAAACAAGAACAGCAGGGGGAGAGGTCGCAAATCCAGCTGTGAGTTAGTGACAAAGAATTGTTGTTGCTGATATTTCTGTCGTTCTAGATCGCTGCTAGAATCACGAGAAACTGTTATGTTATGACGTTCAGTTTCACATACAGCTCAGTGGTTGTACAAAATATCTTCTTGTTGCAAAAGTGTATCATGTAAAACTAGCACATAGAAAAGCCATGCACATCTCCAGTAATAAAAGGCTTCCTCAAAACTATTTAGACATAACTTTTGTCACCTGTGAGTTGTGTTACTAAGGCTCAGGATTTATCTTTCATCAGCGAGGGCTCAGCAGGTGCCAGCAGTGTCCCAGTCAGCCTACTCCCCGTCCTCCTCTGACACTGGGGAGTCCATGCTGGCCAACTCTCCCCAGACTGTGCTGACCAAAAGCCTGCCTCCAGCCAACATCATGGGCCTGCCTCCTACACAGCCCACAACCAAGGTACATACAAAACACACAATGCTGATAATGATAATAAGCATTATGCCTGCAGGCTTGTAGACATTTTATAGTGGTTGCCTGTTACTGCACCTATAACAAATAATGTTAGGGTTTAGCATATCCCATAAATGTTTTCTACACATCCACAAATGTCTGGGTTTGGGTGCATGATGCCTTTTAAGAAACTCTGTGTCACAGTATTGTGATAATATTGTCTTTATTCCTAGAAAAAGGGTGTAAAACGTAAGGCAGACACCACCACCCCCTCCACCATGGGCTTGACTGTGGGCATGTCGGGAGCAACACACATGGTGGGCCTGGGCAAAGGAGGCCACGGGGGCCAGGTCCACGACACCTCAATGCACACCATCTCCTCCATGGGGGGCATGAGCTTAGACACCCCACCTGGGATGGGCCTGGTGAGGAGCCCTGGAGGTCCAGTCTTGCTGCAGCCAATGATGGCAGGCAGCGGACGCAGAGTGGGCAGCGGACGCCCCATTAAACCCCCCAAGAAGGACTTGCCTGATTCTGTCCAGATTCAGCCCTCGAGGAAGGGCAAACTAAGCCCTCAGCTGAGGTACTGCAGTGGGCTGCTGAAGGAAATGTTGTCAAAGAAACATGCTGCGTACGCCTGGCCTTTCTACACACCTGTGGACGCAGCTGCACTGGCACTTCATGACTATCATGACATCATCAAGTGTCCCATGGACCTCAGCACCATCAAGGTGACTTCTCGTATGCTTTACGCTTGTAAAAACAGTCATAGACAATCAATGTGATGACCAAAATCTGCAATATACTATAAATTTGAAAGTCAGTTATTAATAAATAAATAAAAAACACTGATTTAAAATTGGTAAAGTTTTCCAAAAAAGTCAGATTGAAGTTCTAAAATTGTCGTTTCCTAACTTTTCATCAGAGGAAGATGGACTGTCGTGAGTACAGGGACGCTCAACAGTTTGCTAGCGATGTCAGACTCATGTTCTCCAACTGCTACAAGTACAACCCACCTGACCATGATGTTGTGGCCATGGCACGGAAGCTGCAGGTGAGCCCCGCTGTCAAATTCTACTTTTCAAATGATCAGATTAAATTTAAAGTGCAGCAGACTGTGATGAAAATCTGTTCTGTGAACGTTAGTTTGATTTGGCTTTTTTTTTTTATGCCCCAGGATGTGTTTGAGTTCCGCTTTGCCAAGATGCCCGACGAACCACATATGGACCACACAGCCATGTCAATTAGTGGCCATCCAACATCCTCATCCTCCTCTTCTTCCTCCTCCTCGTCCTCGTCTTCCTCTACCTCCGAGAGTGAGCCCAGCAGTGAGAGTGAAGAGAGTGAGAGCAGCCCCAACTCAGACAGCGAGGAAGAGCGAGCGCATCGCCTGGCTGAGTTACAGGACCAGGTGTGCACACAAGTAAGTCCTCCTGTCCTGGTTATTCATCCAGGACTCTTTATTTAAGGTCTAGTGTGTAGGAAGCAGTGGCATCTGGTGGTGAAGCTGCAGACTGCAACCAACTGAAACTTCACCTATGTGCCGAGCCGCGTTATCCAACGCAGAACAGGAATGGCCCTTTCTAGAGCCAGTATTTGGCTTGTCCATGCTGGGCTACTGTAGAAACAACATGGCCGACACAGTGTAAGAGGACCTGCTCTGTATGTAGATATAAACAGCTCATTCTAACGAAGCGAAAACACTATGATTCTTAGTTTCAGGTGATTATACACTAATGAAAACATAGTAATGAATATTGTATTCAATTTCTGTCAGTCCATCTCCCTAAATCCTACACACTGTACCTTTGTGACACATTTCATGGTGTGACAATGAAGCAGTTTTCCCTTTGATCATTTTTTAAATTTAAAATTTTCCGAACAGCTCCGAGCCATGCACGAGCAGCTGGCTGCCCTCTCCCAAGGCCCCATCATCAAGCCCAAGAAGAAGAAAGAGAAGAAGGACAAAAAGGAGAAGAAGAAAAAGAAGAAGCTGGAGAAGCGAAGTCGAGCTGTCAGAAGCAGAGCTGGCTCTGAGGAATGGAAAATGCCCGGCAAGATCCTGAAAACAAAGTCTGCCAAAGCAGGTGGCTCCCAGCCCAAGAAGGGACAGGGAAAGAAGAGTAACAAGAACAGCAAGTTAGTACTAAAACTAATACCCACCACACCAAATCACCATCAAACTGAATTTCATCTTCACAGCAGTGTGGGGTTTTTAAAGCTTCTCAATATATAGGAAAATAGAATATTAACAATATGAAGCAGCTGATCTGTAACTGTATCACTTCCTTTTGATTCTGCAGGGCCGCAAAGAAGCCCTTCTACCCCCCACCACCCACTTCCATGCTGCCGCACTACGACTCTGAGGAAGAGGAGGAGATTGTGCCCATGTCATACGACGAGAAGCGCCAGCTGAGCCTGGACATCAACAAGCTGCCGGGGGAGAAGCTGGGTCGCGTGGTCCACATCATTCAGTCCAGGGAGCCTTCACTGAGGGACACCAACCCTGAGGAGATTGAGATCGACTTTGAAACACTCAAGCCATCGACACTGAAGGAGCTGGAGCGCTACGTCATGACCTGTCTGAGGAAGAAGCCTCGTAAGCCATACGGTGAACAAGGTAAGTAAAACGTTTCGCCAAGCAAATACCAGCTTCGCCCTGATCTTTTATGAGAACAGTTAATCAGTACCAAGCACGTGATGCAGCTGTCTCTTTTAGGCCAGTTTTGGGGGCAGCACTGAACTGTGGTGCAGACATTTGCAACTAAAATGAATTTAACTGTGAATACTTTGCTACATCTTTGCAACACAACACAAAGGTTCAGTGTCCCCACCCTCAAGCAACAATGCAAATCAAAATGCCTTTTTTGCATATCAGTTAGCCAGTGAATGATTGACGCACCACTATTATGGTTTGTGGTGTGTTTCAGCTGCTTGTTGGTTAACACAGAGCCCAGACCTGCCAACCATTAGGCATTAGATGTATTTATTTCTTTCTGTTTATATTTAATCGCAAAATGCACATTGATCAGCACCACTGTAAATAAAATGCCACTGATGACTAAAAGGCCAGTATTGATGATAACCATGATAGTTAGCTGGAGAGGTGCCAGTTTGCCTCATGGGCACTGCCAAACTGCTCTTGAGCAAGGTACTGAACCCCCAACTACTAGCACCTGTCCAGGGGGAGAGAGAGAGGGGATTACATACAAGTAAGGACCACGGGCTGAAATCAAACCCATGGCTGCTGCAGCAAGGACGCTGCCTTGATGCGTGGGATGCCAACTCTAACCACTGAGCTACTGAGTGCACATACACTTGTATTTCCATTTGGCAAAAAAAGACAAAATGCCCAATAAAGTTAAAGATGAATTTACCTAATAGCATTATTATTATTTTCTTTTTATCAAATTTTCAATGGATATTGTGATAATACTTTTATCATACTTTTATCTTTGCCATGATAATTGTGTCATGAAAATCCGATATCATGCCAGCTGTATTTTCAACAGCTGTCCTTTGGCCAGATGTTGAATTAAGACAGTAATATGAACAGAGACACAATCTGACAGACACAGACAGGAAGCCAAGTAAATAAGAACAGACAAGGCAAATCTACGATGTCATTGTGTAGCTGCAGGTCTGGTTGCCTTTAAGTTACATGCAAACAGAACAGATTTTCCCCTAAGAGAATTTACTAAAGATCTAAAACTGTAACCGTAGAGTTACACCAAGTTGACAGGCATGCACCGTTGTTTTCTCAGCCAGTTAATGCACTGGACTTTGGTGCTATAAGCACATCTTTTATTCATTCTCCCCTCCGTGTGTCTCAGTGGCTGAAGGGCTAGTTTTCCTCCAGAGTAAACACTGCTGGACAAACTCCTTAAGGTCAATACAGTGATGTGGAGAGTTTATAGATTTGCTAAGCTAGTGTTTACCATTTGACAACACACTGCTTGATGCATGAAGCATAATCAATGACATGTCAATAGTTTGAGTAATGTTGGGTTGCATCATGAAGCTAAATTCCCCAAATTAAAGACTGTACTCGCTACACTTACACTAAACTGCAAGGTTTATTAAAACCTGGTACCAACCAGCTGTAATGTGGTGACAGATTTGAAGGGCCAAATTTTTGCAACAGCTTAAGGAAGAGCCAAGTCTGCCACTCAGAAAGAAACTGCAGAATGAGAGTAAAGCTCTTTTGGTTTCACGTTTTTATGTTACACTACCTCCAGAATTCTTGGGAGAAACCTCTGATGTTCCAAGACCCCTCTGCCCCCTAACACACTCTTACAACTGCAGCTCACCCATTAACACTGAAGCCACATATCCAAAAAACATTTTCTTTCCAGTACCCTTAGAACCGTATGTAATCTGTATGGACATGTACCTACACCACTGATCTGTTAGCGCTTTCACTGCAGACAGTACTACATCACTGCTCCACGCAGCTCTCACTGTGTTTCTTCTTCACCGATGATGCAGAATAATGTCTGCATCCTGTTGATCGTCCAATGTTTAGAGTCTTTGTCGCAATCGATAGGATGTTTAAAAATAGTGGGTTTGTGGTTTTTGCATTGAATCTTTGTCAAGCAAGAGTGTCGATTCTATATTGAGCGATCAACAGATTGCAGTATTTCAAGCTCAGACCTTTAACAGGTCCTTAAAATGTCTTCAATTTAATGTTACAACAAGACCTTAAAGTCATTAAATAGTATTAAATGTGAATTTGTAAGGTCTTAACTATGACAAACATAATTTACATCTAATTTTGTGAAAATGAGTGAAGCCTTTCTATGTAAAAATCTTAAAATAAAACTATAATACCGTCATTTCACTTCATACGTGCACTTACCTGTTGGCAAACTGTATATTCCTACATAACCCCTACCTATGCATAAGACCACATATATACTACTTGCCTGCAATGATTAGTAAAACATGATTTGTCCAAAAATCGGTTAAAATGTGTCTTTGAATGGATCTTAAAAAGCATTCAATTTAACTGTCTGTTACCTGTAGGTACCCTGTTTTAGTATTCCTTCAGTATGCGAGGTATGTCAGCAGACAGGTAACAAAAACAGGACAGAATGGAATGTACCATCCACAACGATTAACAATGTAAATGCAAAAGCAACTGTTCTAATGTGTAACGAACTGCGCTGAACTGATTCAGACTGCTTGGTGGAAATGAAGCTTAATTCACAAGTCACTGCATTATTTTGAGTGCCCCGGGGTCTGTAACCACTTTGTCGATCCTTTCAGGTGCAGCAGGAAAGAAAGGCAGTGTTGGCAAGTCTAAAGAGGAGCTGACTCTGGAGAAGAGGAGGGAGCTGGAGAGGAGGCTGCAAGATGTCAGTGGGCAACTTAATTCTGTCAAGAAACCTACGAAACCTAAAGGTGAGCCCACAAATCCCTGTCCTGTATGTGCACGTGTTCTCACACACACACGTGCCTTTGATGTGAAACTGTTTCTTGATTATTGTTTGTTTTACAGGGTACTTTAATAGTTCTACCTTTTGTTTCTATTTTTATTGACTCCTGTTCATTGCTCTATCCTCAGTGGAGAAGCCCAGTGCTGTAGAGACTCACACCCAGCCCTCACGCCTCAGCGGCAGCAGCTCCAGCTCCGACTCCTCTTCCTCCTCCTCCTCCTCCTCGTCCTCGGACACCAGTGATTCAGACTCTGGTTGAGATCCTTCAGCACTGGCTAAGAGAGAAAACACTAATAACTCAGGGACTTGGGCTGGCCCAGGACACAACACACCCTGAAACAGTAGTGGGCTGAGATATTAGATACCATGGTGAAAAAACACTCCAAGCGGACTCGTAAAATGTTCTGAATGTGGGACTGAGGGATGCGAAACAACGTCTCTGTGGATAATAGTAGAACCCAAACACTAAATGCCTTGGTTTCACCCTCCTCCCCCTTTGTAAATACTTGTACAAATTTATGTTTCTTTTATAAAGAAGAATTTTATGGTGATCCCCCAAAGAGGGAAGCGGAGTAATAAGAAAGGATGTAGAAAAAAAAAATGGGCCTTGCTCCAAATCTGCTTCGGCTGGCCTCAAGCTATGTCCGCGGTGATGAAGGAATGGGAGAGTGTTTATTTATTTGTTTTCCTCACCCCCATTTCCTCAGACATGACTGGAATTTGAACCAGCAACCTTTTAGGTCACAAGCCTTGCTTTTCTAACATCTGGCTTTCTGCCACACTTAATTTTTAGATCGACCCCTAGATTGTTCAGAACGGTTAGAATATTTGGATAAATACGATATTGTTGAGGAGCTCTAAGATTCCTTGTCATGCTCACAGGTTAAACCTCTGGTGTCTGCTGTTTTCAGGTCAGAAGCTTAAGTCGGCTCCAGTTTGAGTTCTGGATCATTCCTCTTTGAGGTTTACACACATTGCTCTTGCAGTAGTTTTTCGAAAACAAAGTGGATTCAAAGTACAGTATAGAAATGTCTTAACATACTGTAATTACAAAGTTACGCAATATACGTAACATACTCACTCAGTTTGTATTGATTTTAACAGCTGCACTATTCTCCTAAAAGCCCACCAGCCACTTTAAGATAGTCCAGTCTCATAAACATGACACTAATGAAAGTACAGCTCTTTCCTGTTCAACTTGTCCTTGATATTTCTCTTCATTACATCAAAATGTAACTGAAGTGTGCATCTGTGTCACAGAGCTGAACACAGGCTGCTGAATGTTCTCACAGCAGAGTGCAGGTCTCTGATTTCCACATTAATCTCCTGAACATGTGAAGTATTGCATTACTGTTTCTTAGAGACATCTGTAGCACTTAGAAACTCAGTGAAGGTTTCTTTAAGAAGTCTTTCAGCCGCTCGGCACTTACTGGAACAAATAGCGTTGACTGGATAACTACAAGTTTCCCATGAACAAAGAAAGTCCTCATAGCTCCATGCATAGTTGAAGCTGTTGTTGAATGTTCAGTGAAAGAATATATGCTTGTATATACTTAAACTGTATTTGCTGTTGCACAGACTATTGTATTTCTGCTGTTCAGTCTTTCTTTTCTGTTTTCTTGTTTCCTTATTTTTTTTTACACGCTGTTAATTCTCATTCCAGTTGACTGTCTTAGTTGTTTCCTGAAGAGCGTTCTCATGAGCATCGCTGCCTCCGGTCAAGCAGGTTGTCGCCTCTCAGAAGCATAACTTTCATTTGACAAGTGTGTTTATTAAAATATTCTCTTCTGTAGAAAGAGTTTGAGTATTGTGTGCCTGTCTGGGGTCGGTATCTCAAGGTTGTGTTTTAAAGCTTTGGATGTAGCGCTGAACTCAGTTGACCTGCAAGTTGACACAGTTTTGATAATCAATGAATTGTTTACCTTTTTGTTTTTGCATGTCTGTTTTTTTCTGTATCTAATTTCATTTTTTATATAGTGTTTGTTTTAACTGTTGGTCAGACAAGAAATTGAGGCATTGGATGATAATGGAAAAAAATCTCTGTGCACCTGAATGTGACGGGAGCATCGGAAAAGGTGCAATCATGGGAAAAAAACCTCTGCAGACTGTTTCGCTCACTGCTGAAATATTTATTGTAATAATGTTTCTGCCTTTCCGACATTCATCAGGTATATGTACCTGTATGTATGTGTGTAAATATATACCCAGTTAAGGTAGGAAAGCCTGAAGCATTACAATAAATATTTCAGTAGGAAGTGCGACAGTGTTTGGAAGTTCTTTTGCTCCACTATTTTCTGAAATTTTACAAACTAAACAATTGATTTGCTTTAAATCTGAGGTCAGGAGCACAAACTACCCCCTCATTTTTATGATTTTTGTTCTTTTAGCTACTCAACTGATGTACAAACAAATATTAAATTACACTAAAGTATGATATGACAAACTGAACAGGGCATTTCACAGCTTTAAAAATGCAGGATAATCACTGTAAACTTCTCGTTTTAAAATATGTGTCCAACTTGTTTTCATCATATTGTGATTATGATTTTTTTTTTTTTTTTTTTT